CTACTGACCTAGTGGGTCAATATGTAGGACAGACAGGCCCGAAGACCCAAAAACTGCTCGAGAATGCCCTCGGCAAAGTCCTTTTCATCGACGAGGCATATCGTCTTGCGGAGGGAAATTACGCCAAAGAAGCAATGGATGAGCTGGTCGACTGTATCACCAAGCCTATGTTTTTCCACAAGCTCATCATCATTCTCGCGGGCTATGACGACGAAGTCAACGAGCTGATGTCCATCAACCCGGGCCTAACCAGTCGATTCCCGGAGTCTATACAATTCCACCCTCTGTCTCCCGGGCACTGTGTTCAGCTCCTGACCACGCTCTTATCCAAACGGCAGAAGAGCGTCAGCGCCAAGGGAAACGGAGACGTGGGGTTCGACCTAGGTCCACTGGAAAGACCGCAGGAGACTTTTGTCATGACGGTGACCCAACACTTCGAGACGCTTTCCCATACAACCGGGTGGGCAAATGCTCGTGATGTTGAAACTTTAGCAAAGTCTATTTTCCGCAAGGCCTTACAAACTAGTGGAGTCACCGCCGTGGTGGTGACAGAATCGCATGTACTGGAGGCTCTTGGCGACATGGTCAATGATCGAGCGTCCCGCGAGAAACCATTACCCAAGCGATTGTCTCTCTGCCAGGACGGCACAGAGAAGCCTCAACCCGCCCCGCTGTCTCAAACCTCGTATCGCCCGAAGATAAGCACCTCGACCGTTCACTCCTCGTCGCCAGAAATTATCGAAGTTTTTGAAGAGCACGACGAAGAAGCGCAGCACCAACCGGTTGAAGCCGAAGCCGGACCGCGAGATGCTGGCGTCAGCGACGAGGTATGGTATCAACTACAGAAAGACAAAGCCGGGGCCCTCGCCCTTGCACAGGAAGACACGAAGCAGCAGGAAGCCGAGACAAGGGAGCGGGGGATTCTCCAGAAAATGAAAGAGCAGGTCATCGCACCCCCGACGGCTCCCGATGACGAGGCGAAAAGACGCCACGAACAAGCTCGACTGCAGCGTTTGGCTCAACTTCGCGAGCAGGAGGCGGTTCTTGAGAAGCTCAAGAAGGAGAAAGCCGCGAGAGAGGAAAGGCAGCGGCAGGAGGAGAAAGCACAGAAAAAATTGAGAGAAATGGGGGTGTGCCCTGTAGGTTTTCGATGGATCAAACAAGACGGTGGATATCGGTGTGCAGGTGGGAGCCATATAGTGTCTGATGCACAGCTGGCATAGCGTTGATTTTCTATCTACCCTGTGTGGTCGAGTACTGAGCCTCACTTTTCATGTGGGATTAAGTGTTGGAAAATCAGTCAGGTTAAGCCCTGTACCAATCGTTGGTCAACGTTTTGGCGTAGCGGTCATGATGATATTAGCATGATAGATCACAGATTCTTGATACTCCGGGAGATCAAGGGCTCCTCCATAATGTGAGTATAAGTTTCTAATTTGGTGTACATGTCTTCTGGTATTCTTCTCGTTCATATTCATCTTTCTACTCTTTACGGCTGATCTGTGACCAGCAGAAGCCCTACAAATCATCCTGGTAACAAAGATGAAGAAAAGAAAACAAAGAAAAAAATAGCTGCCCACAATCAGTAGCCAATGTGGTCATCATTACTACGCAGCGCAAACCCAGTCGTCCCATACCTTAGTCCCTGAGACCATAGATTCGCAAACATCACTACACACTTAACACTATATCATCAAGTATCAAAGTCGAAGAAATCCAGACTCCGGTCCAGGCCGTCTTCCCCATCCTCTTCCCGGACCCTCCCTTGCTCCTCCTGTTCAGGCCAACACTCAGCAGTTCTCACCATCTGACAATCCGACTCAGATCCCTCGCCCTCCCGGCTGTGCAAAAGTGACCAGTACCAGGTATCGTCGAGGGGGAGCTGAAATGTCCCCTCGTCACGGCTACACGCACGGCCAATACGGTGCCGTTTGCCACCAACGGGGGGAGTAGGCGCGTCGATCGCCCACGGAAGCCTGGCCACACCCAGCGTGAGCGGCACTGTCTGGCGGACGATCGCCGGGAGGAAGGATCCATCTGGCGGGAGATGGCCGGTCGCGAGGCTGCTGTCGATGCAGGTCGACAGCAGTAGATATGCCCGCGGGTGTTTTAAAAAGGCGTGGATCCAGCTTGTGACGCGCAGGTTGGTAAAGGGCGCATTCTCGGGGTGGTGTGCTGGGGAGGGAGGGTTGTTGGTGTCCCGGAAGAGGTTCTGGGTGATGGTGTAGGCCAGCTGGAGGATGTGGTTTGTGCCGTTCGAGAAGAGCTCGGTGACGTCGTAGGCTTCGCGAGACTGGCGGATGACTTCGGTGCAGTTGTTGAGGCTGTGCTGGCGATTGAGGGAGTGTGTGTAGGATGGGGAGAGGTGCATGTCAATGGCGGAGAGGATCAATGGGGTGCCGCAGTAGGCGAGACTGATGGCGTTCCGTTGCTTGTAAGGTGGTGATCTGGAGGAATGGATGGGAGGTACTTACACGCTGAGGGGGATACTTTCGGGGAGGTGTCGAGAGGCAAAGAAGGCCATGGTTTGCGTTAGATGCGACATGGAGCTCTGGAGGTCTTTGGCGATTCCCAGGAGGATTGTCGCGGAGCGCTCCTGGATCATCTCGACGTGCTCTTCGACGAGCAGGGTCTGGTGGTGGGATAGTGCCATGCGGGCATTTCTGGTCTGTGTCAGTATCCTTTTCGATTGATCGGACCGTGTTCCATCCGTGACACATACTGATAGTACATGTATGTGAGGTTGACAATGACATCGATGATCTCGTGCTGCGGGTTGTGCATCGGGACCTGGACATCGACTTCGTCTTTCCACAGCGCAAGCCGACTTTTCAGCCGCTCGACCCTTGCCAGACTCTGCTGGAGCCCCTGCCAGGACAGTCGCGGGACGTAGCCATCCGAGCTGGTGAAGGCGATAGAGATGACCCCCGTCAGAATCACCGCGAGCCGACACTGGGCCTGGAAGATCTTCAGCAGCGAGCGTTTTGCGTCGGCCCCATACACCGGCGAGAACATGATCTCGTCCGCGACGTCGTCTTCGTCCAAGTAGTCGGTTGTCACGTTGAAGTTGGCAGAAATGAACTGCGGCCGGCGATGTCGCCCCAGCCACAGGATCCTGTCGCGCACAAAGACTGACCAGATCAGCCGCTTTTTGGCAATGCGGCTGGCGTCCGCGTCTGGTACTTGCGTGTCCTGGCCGATCGCGATCGCATTCTGGATAGAACAGAGGTTCCATGTCATTGTGGCTTCGGGGTCTTCGGCCGTCGTGTGAAAGGTGAGCAGCGCTGCGCCTTGAGCTCTGGCTAGTGGGTTGCTTTCGAAGCCCGTATCATAGAGGACCTGTGTTGGCTTAGCTGAGCGAACTGGGATTTGTGGACTCGGGGGTTATGGAAGTGTCCAGGCGAGAGTGCGTTACCTTGGCTCGCGTGTAAAGAGCCCTTTTGGCCTCGTGCACATTGCCAAATCCCCACTGCTGAAGAACGTCGACCGGAACGAACTAGGGAGGGGAGAAGATTGTCAGGGAGACGTCGACGACATCGGGGAACAGTCCCGTCGCGACATACCGAACAGCTTGCAAGGAGCATCGCTTGAAACACGAACAGTGACACCTTCTGGCTGGGGTTGAGATTCCCATTGGCGTGCAGGTAGATATTCCAGAACTGGACCTCGTTGAGAATAGGGAGCGATGGGTGGATAACGAGGAAATACTTTCTCAGGAACACATCTACCAGATCCTTGGGGGGAATGTCAAGCGAGCCATTGGTGACCAGAACGTGCACATCATCCATCGGAAGAGACGATACTCGATCCAGGGCAAGGAAGTACTGTCCTGGGGCTGCGGTGCTACTGTCTTCCACCACGAGGCCGTCGACGCTGCAAGGGTCTCCAGCCCCGTTCCACACCCCATCAGCGAGATCTATCTGCGTCGATGGCTCCGGGACCCGGATGTCTGGGGATGGCGATGAGATGACTTCTGGCGCCGCTTCATATGCACTCAATCCGGGGGCCGTGGGCGGGATGATCTCGGCTGACGCGCCGGACTGTGGGTTCCCGTTTTGTTGGAGCCTTTTGAAGCGTGCTGTCACGTTTGGGCGCAACGTACAGTCCGTTCTTCTATCCAGCGTGCAGTTTGTGCAAGGCGATCCGAGAACGGCGGCATCACAGCGGACCTTGCGCCAGTGACACCGGTAGCACGCGGCTGCTGCTCGTCGAATGCGCCGTTCAGGCCATACCATGTCTTTGACCGATTCCATTTGCGTCCTCGACGGGGTCGTGTTCCGCGAGTGTCATCACCGTGCCCGTCTCCGGCTGTCCGGCGCACTATCTGGGGAAATCTACTCACCCCATGGGGGTGAGCGAGGTTCTCCGCACAAAACCAAGCCACCGGACACGGCCGATCATCCTGCGGGGCTGGCATTGTCCCGATGGTTTACCTCGGACTGATCCCTGTCAGCCACCGCATGGATCTGCCCGAGATATGTGATTTTGGTCGTCGAGGCCAGACCATCTGGGCAGACTAACTCGCGCATATCGCCGTATAGATTGTGGGGTAAATGACGCATTCTGCAGAATGTTGTAGGAAAGCACGCGGTCACAAGTTAGGGCTACTAGTGCAGTCTGTCCTGCCGAGCGGACGGCATGGGTTCAGATATACCCCGGTCCACGGCTGCGAGTGATATACCTTGGATATCCATTGACATATGACTGCAGAGAAAAGGTCTAGGCGACATGATGTACCAGCTGCGAAAGGAATTTCAAAACCAGCTTGCGCTGAAGCCTCCAAGCGGCATGAGTCAATTCATCAAATCATAACAGCTACGCCGAAATGTTGACCAACATTTGGTATAGGGCTAAGGTCACTGTTATCGCAACATCTAAATTCATTCGACATTCTAGGGCACAGAAACAGGAAGGAGAAGTAGCACAACCAAACCATTAGATAAATCAATAAAAACAATAAGCAACAACTAACACAAAAAAGGTGATCAAAATAAGACACATCAAACCTGGCCGCGCTTCTTCAACCGCCGCCTCATATCTTTCATGTAAAACTGCAACGGGATAGTGCGAATGAATCTCGGAATCGCAGGATAACCAATCTTAGCCCCCAGTATCACTGAGCTGTAAAAGATCCTCTGGAACCTGCCCGTCTTCAACCCATACGCCTCGCGCACACTATCCGGCAGCATCTGCGCCGTCATTAGCCGCACAACAGGCAGGCCCATCCGCAGGGGCAGAAACAGATGCTTATTCCACAGGAGGTCGTGCGCGACGCGTCGCGCATGGGGTGTGATCTCTAACTTCTCAACAGCCGAGTCCCAGTACTTCCAGAACGCCTTGCGCGAGGGAGGCCACATCTCGGACGGGACGCGGAGGGAGACGGCGAGCACGGAGAACTCGCGGTAGACGTGGTCGGCGCGAGCGGAGTCCATGGGGCCGTAGACTTCTTCGTACATGAAGATGCCGCTGGCGTACAGCGTCGAGGCGACCCAGACCTGGAGCTCGGGGTCGTTGGCGGAGTAGTCCGGGCCTTGGACGTCGGCGTGGGCGCGGTTCACCATGGTGATGAGGGCGCGTTTCTCGTCGCGCGTGCCGAACGACATGCAGTAGACGAAGGTGAGGGTCGTACGAAGTCGGCGCAGTGGCTTGTACGCGAAGCTGCTGTGGTTGTCGACGCCTTTGGCCACTCCGGGCATTGCGACCTGGAGGAGGATGGCGGCGGCGCCGCTCGCGAGCAGGATGCCTTCGCGGACGACTTTCTGGACCTCATGGGAGTTTTGGAGCCGGTCGAGCAACTCGTCTGAAGGGATGTTGCTCAGGGGCTGCTTCTCCGTGTCGATCATTACTTTCTCGCTTTCTGGTTGGTCTCCGTCTTCTTTGGGTGAGAGTTGCGATGGTTTCATTGTGGTTGGAGCGTTGGTCGCGGGCGCCTTGTGTGCTGCCATGTTGAGGATAAGGGACGATAGTCGTACATCTCCTACTGAAGTGGTCGACGCATGCTTTCAATGAGGAAATTATATTGTCTCTGGAAACGTAGGTAGGATGCAAGAGTGGTTGCAGCTCGTTTGACGTGGTGGGTGTAAAGGTTGGCGGCGCCGCGGTATACGGACCGAGGGAGCAGAAACCCTAAGATGACCTCCCCCGCAGAGAATCAATCCTCCAGGGTTCACCGTCCGGGGTCTAGTGGATCTACCTCCAAATTTTGACCGGCTCATGCAGCTAGCACTCGCCATCTCACGGCTGAAGCGGGGGACTCGTGGTCACAGGCGAAAAGCAGTCATGGATTCCCTAACCGTCGTGGATGCGATACTTAGGGCTAATTTCCCCGGCTTGGGCACGCGCCATCGACCATGCGCAAGAACATGGAAAGCTACAAGTACTAACTGATGCTATCTAGAGTCAATCAAGACTGGTCCCCACTGGATTTGTATTGTTTTGGCGCTGAGTTGACTTTCCTCATTGCCCATCATGCCCATTGGAGATTCGCGCATGTCCGCTGGCATAGGTCCATCCAAAGTGTCGGTCGAGTCACAGTCTTCTTCAGATGAACGCGACGAAGCCCAAGCTGAACGCGCAGTGGGGGACAAACAACGACACATAGGTTCCAAGACCAGCCAGCCCGTAGGATTCTGGCCCAAATTTTGGAAGCACTTCAAGCGGTACTGGTTGTGCTATGGCATCGCCGCGGTGGTATTTCTGGCCATCTTTCTCCCCGTTTTGTAGGTCATTCACTCATCCATTGATAACCTCCTGGCTCACTGGCCAGTCACTTTCGCTAATCCATACCTCTCTTTCTCTCCCCCTAGCTTTCTCGTCATCATTCCCGCCATCGCGCAGAGACTGGTGGACGATGCCGCCATCCCCATTAAGTTCGCCCAAGTGCTGCAGCCAACACCCGACAGCATCACCTTTTCGCTTTCCGCCTCACTCAAGGTCCCGCTGGGGTTGAGCGTCACCATTGACCCCCTGGATCTCAATCTCTTCAACCGGGAGGTCAAACCGATGAAGCCCTACATCACGGCCCCCTTGGGACACATCCGCCTCAAGGGAGAATCCGCCATCACCGTCTCGAACCAGACGACGAAGATCCGAGATCAAGATGAATTTATCAAGTTTCTGTCCAAAGCCGTCTACTCCAAGAGATTTATTCTATCGGCGTATGGAAAGACAACGGCGCATCTTGGGAAGCTCAAAGTTCCACTGAAGCTGGACAAAGACATTGAATTAGATGGTGTGCACATCCGAAAATTATCCTGTTTCTCCCACGCAGTCCTTGCTGACGACGGATTGATCTACGACACGCAGGTCTCGACCAGCTCAATGGCTTCTCTCTTGACACAGCAAGCCTCGCCATTCCCCCCAAAGAAGATGGATCGAACCTGGTTGGAGAGGCGACAATTCCGAACCACTCACGCGTCACCTTCGCCCTGGTAAGCCCACTTTCTCACCTCCATGTCCTGTCCCCTTACTGAGATACTCACACGCAATCAACACATGTAGGGCAACGTGACCCTGGCGCTCAAAATCGACGACCTCGTCCTTGGCAACGGCACCATCAACAATGTCCTCCTCAACCCAGGCAACAATACCATCCCACTCCGGGGTATCCTCGACATTGGCAAGACGCTCAGCAACGTCGCAACCGTTCTAGCCGCGGAAGCCGACTCGCTAAGCCAGCTGCAGGTGAAGCTCTGGGCCTCGGGGCAATCGGTCGTCGCGAACGGACTACATCTCCCCTACTTCGAGAAGGTGCTGAGCAATCTGACCGTCAGTACGCAGGTGCCTGTTCTCAAGGTGCTCATAGGGTCGGTTTCGGAGCTCATAGACTCTAATCCCGGGGTCATGTCGAATGTGACTGAGGCGTTGCGGGGTACAGACTTGTCGAGTGGGCCTAATATGTGACCATTTTGCGATTGGCTGTGTTAGTCAATGGATTGACACCATTCCACGAAGGGGTTATATGGCATATCCGTGTCTACTAGCATTAATGCATTAATGAATCATCGTGTCGACTGCGTATCCATCTGTATGACTCGGTAAGCCTGAGTCGGGGAGGGAAAGTGACGACCGTGCGTCAAGTCCACCATTTGAGTCCCTCCCACGCTATAATTCTCGGAGCATTTCCCTGTCTCCAGTCATCTCACGCGAAAAGTTGAGCCCCTGCGCAGGATCACCGCCAATGATATGATTCAATTCATCTCCTGAGCAGAGGTTAATGCACTACCCCCGCATGGGATAGTCCCCCCCCCCACACGGGCCCACCCAGCGGTCCGAGGTAATGTTTTGCCATAAATAAATTAACCCTATGCAACTTGGTATATTGGTTCTACGCCACCAATATAACAAGTTCGGAAATTCTGTCACCCCTCTCGCTCTAGACAATATTCACGCACGCTATCTCGGACCGCTATCGTCGCGCCACCTTGGAGAGATGCGCTGGAGTAGGCGGGGTAGCGTGCCTAGGCGAAGGGTTTGGGGTTCTCTTTCACGTAAGTCACTGGAAGGGGGCTTTCAGAAAGGGCCGCCATGGTTCAGACACCTCCGACGGAACGAGCTATCACGGGGAGCAGAGAACAAGCCAGGAAAGATGGTCACGGTGGTGGTTTCAGTCCGAGGCAAGTGAGTATGGGCCGGGATTGAGCGGCTTCACGGCCTATTCATAAGAGTTGTCGATGGCTCTACTCGAGTCAGTAACTCTCGACGCTCAAGAGTTTTAGTCGGTTTCTGTCTGATCACTCGTTGACCATGAGAATTCTTCCGACCCTTGTCGCCCTGCTGGCTGCAGGATCGCTGGCGGCAGATCCAACCGTCACGTCGTCGGGTCCTTCTGCGACGGAGGACCAGGCGTCGTCGACGGTGGACAGCTCCAAGCACTCTCCAACAGACATTGGTGTTGCATCGCCGCTCGTGAATGCAGGCCCGGATGTCCCAAGCGACTCGCCGCAGGACGGCCCCAAAGATCCGGTCAAGGATTTCGTCTCTTCGGCTGCGGACAAGGTCACCCAAGTCGTTCCACTTCCGGACTCGGATCCAACATCGTTGTCGTCGTCAGAAACAACGAAAAAGGCACATAGCACAACGTTGTCTTCAAGCGCCCTACCACAGCCGTCCTCTTCATCTAACGGTGAAAAAGACCATGGCCTACTTGATGACTTTCTCGGGGGCCTAGGTGGGAGTAACTCGGACAAATCACCATTCAAAGACCTCCGTGGCCTCGAAGATGGCTTTAAGAATATAGCCAGTCTGTTCACGCCGGACTTCGTCAAAGACACCGCAGGACTCGTCGGTCAGGCGTCCAGATTCTTTGACGATGACACCATCAAGGATACCAAGGCCATGATCAGTACGGTAGCAGGGTTAAAGCCTGCGCTCTCCTCGGCCAAAGGGGGAGACCTCTCTGCAATTTTCCAGAATGGCTCTTTTGTGAAAGACATCGACAACGTCTTCCAGGACCTCATTGCACTGCCGGGAATCTTGAAAGAAATACTCGATCTTTTGACCAGTGATGAAGTGAGGGACGTGATCAAGGCACTCCCCGAACTCCTCGAGGGTATCAAACCAATCTTGAACCCGGAGTTACTCAAGGCCTTAGAGTCGCTGATCACAAAGAATGCGACTCCGGAGTTTATAGACGACCTATCGAAGACCCTCAGCGCGGTCCGACCACTCCTTCACGACCTGCAACCGCTCTTGGGCAACAACACAGTCGGGCCTATTCTCGACCTGGTGAAAACCATCGCCGCGCCGGACTTCATCAAGGAGATCAATTCTCTACTGAGATCCCTGCCACCCATTTTGAAGGAAATCGCCCCTCTCCTTGGTCCAGACGTCATCGGGCCACTACTGGACCTCATCAAGGAAATATTGTCTCCGGAGATAATCAAGGAGCTGTCATCCTTAGTCAAGGCTCTTCCGCCGCTTGTCAAGGACATTTTACCCCTGATCAAGCCACTCATAGAGTTCATATCCGATCTTATAACGCCGGAACTGACGGAGGCGATCAAGTCACTACTCAAGGACCTGCCGTCGATCATCAACGGCCTTGTGCCTCTTCTCAAGCCACTAGGCGATATCCTCAAGGATGTCCTCACCCCAGAGTTCGTTAAAGACGTTGGAGGCCTTCTCAAGGCCCTACCACCAATTGTCAAACAGCTGACGCCCTTGCTCGAGCCACTCGGTGACCTCGTCAAGGAGATTCTGACGCCCGAGTTCATCAACGACATCAAGTCACTCCTTGAACTCGTACCAGGGTTGATCAACACCATACTGCCGCTTGTTCCCAAGCTTGAAGATCTCCTCACACAACTTCTCACCCCAGAAATGATTGACATGGTTGGAAAGGTCATCGAGGGACTACCTGGCCTTGTGAAAGCCCTGCTGCCTCTGCTGCCGCCGATTGAGCAATTGATCAAGGACATTATAACGCCTGAGTTCATGAAGGCCATCACATCTCTGCTTAAGGAAGTGCCCGGACTGCTTGACATACTTCTCCCCCTTCTTCCGCCGGTGGAAGATCTCATCAAGAAGATAGTCACCCCCGAGGTGATCAAGGCGCTTGGATCACTGATCGACATGGTTCCTGGGCTTCTTCAAACGCTCTTACCTCTGATCCCGCCATTGGAAGATCTTATCAAGAAGATAGTCACTCCAGAGTTTATCAAGACGCTTGGTTCGCTGATCGACAAGGTTCCGGGGCTTATTCAAGTGCTCTTACCTCTACTTCCACAGCTCGAAAAGATGCTAGTCGACATCATCACCCCGGAATTCATCAACGAGATCGGAAAGGTTCTGGCGGCAGTTCCGGGGTTATTGCATGCCGTGCTACCTCTTCTTCCACCGCTCGAGGAAATGATTCCCAGGGTCCTGACAAAGGACCTGATCTCGGCTGTGGAATCCGTACTTGTCGCTTTGCCAGGCATCATCAACGACCTGCTTCCCTTGTTGAACGGCGACACGATCGCGTCCTTGGTGAAGATCCTGACGGACCTCCTCACCCCACAGTTCATCAAAGACGTGGGCAAAGTGCTAGCCATCGTCCCACCATTGCTCCACGACCTCGCCCCGATCTTCACCCCGGAGCTCGTGAAAGCAGTGGGAAATCTGCTATCCAGCTTGGCCACTCCGGACACCGTCAACGCCGTCACCTCGTTGATCACAGCCGTTATCCCCATCCTCAAAGATCTCATCCCCATAATCAACAACAAACCCGTGAAAGAACTCGTCGCCGGGCTCCCGAAGATCCTTGACGGCCTCCTCGAGATCCTCAACGTCGACGTGATCCTCGCCCTGGAAGCAGGACTAGCAAGCCTGATCACCGAGCAATCCGTCACAGACCTAGGGAAAGTTCTCGCCTCGCTCCCACCCCTCCTCCACAGCGTAGTCCCCATCTTCAACAAGACCCTCATGACCCCAATCAACCGTGCCATCTCCTCAGTCCTCACCGTCGACCTCGTCCAAGACGTCGGCAGTCTCGTCAACGTAACCCCAGCCCTCTTCGAAGACGTCATGCCCCTCTTCCACAAAGACATCATCCTCCCCAGCGAAGACATCCTCAAAGACCTCATCACGCCAAAGACAATGGACAGCATCGGCTCGGTGCTCCACGCCGCGTCGCCCGTTATACAAAGCCTCCTCTCCGTGGTTTCCAGCAGCGCAATCACATCCCTCCTAGACGCCGTCCCCGAGATCCTCGACAGCCTGCTGCCGCTGCTCAACGGGGACGCGGTATCGCAGCTTGTGGATGGCGTGACAAAGGCATTGACGCCCGCATTAGTAGATGATATTGAGACCGTGCTCGAGTCGCTCCCGGGCCTGGTACACTCTATCGTTCCTATCTTTTCGGGAAATATCCTTCCGACACTGGTGGAGAATGTGATTCCGTTGGTGAAGGCTGTTGTTGCGGTGAGATTTGTTTCCTTTGACTTGATCTCCCCCACCGCTTTGCCCCCCCCACAAAAGAGGGTATTTGGCTAATTTTGTGATACAGCTACTACCGATGTTGTCGGATATCTTGAGCAATATCAAGTTGTAGAGCTCACCGGTTGGGACTTCAACGACGGGATGAAGACGCGATATTTTGTGTTGCTTGAGTGATAGCGTTTTATGGATGATAGTCATGTCCCTAATGTTAGCAGATAATGAACATGATGACAGTAAAAAGGAAAACAAAACAAAACAAAAAGAAACACCGTACATGGATAAACATATCCTTCAAACAAGGAAAAAAAAAGAAAATGAATATGACCGACGCAGGGTTCGAACCTGCGATCTCTCGTGAACATAAGATTGTAAGACGAGCGCCTTAACCACTGGGCCAGTCGGTCGAACAATACATTATGTAACAGACATTGAGCTTCATGAGTATTTACTCTCATGTATGGTGCAAATAATATCTTTGCCACGCTGAATTCAACCACCATGTGGTATTCATCCACATGTACTCTATGACCCATACATTTTTTATGAACGAGGATATTCCCTGTTGAGATACATGCACTCCGTAAAACTCTCTAGATTACTCATCTTGCTACTTATTTACGACATTACCCTCTGATGAATATGAACATTTAATACAATCTATTCAACAAGTCCTGCAAATGTCAAAAAGGAAAAAAAAAAGGTTAAAGATAAAGAAAATGCCACTAATCCATTATATCCAAGATATCACAAACAAAGGAAACAAAAATTTTACAATGCAACAAGCACCCGCTTATTTCTTGAACTGATCCTCCGTAACACCCTTACCCATGGCCGCCGTGCTGCTCACACCACCGCTAACCATCTTCAGCATGTTGTCAACATAGTTGGCACCGCTCCACTTCTGGTGCGTGACGACGTCCACGCCGAGCTCCATCTCGGGCTCCTGGACCAGCTCGCCGTAGGCGCGCATGCCCTGCTGCGAGAAGGCGCTGGCGAACTTGTGCGAGATGAGCGCGGTGGTGTGCAGGCCCGCCAGGGTGATGAACTGCCAGCAGTAACCCAGGGCGCCCAGACGCTGGATGTAGGTCTCTTGCTCGTCGCGGGGCATGGCCTTCTTCCAGTTGAAGGAGGGGGAGAGGTTGTAGGCGAGCCTGGATTATTATTAGTGGGATGTTTTTTTTTATGATTGAAAGGGTTTTTAGGGACATACTTCTGCTCGGGCCAGACGGCGTGCACACCATCGGCGAACTCCTTGGCCTGCTTGTAATCGGGCAGCTTGCTCTCCATCCAGATGAGGTCGGCGAAGGGGGCAAAGGCGACGGCGCGGTTGACGGCGCACTGGGTGCCGCCCTGGTAGCGGTAGTAGCCCTCGCGGGTGCGGGCGGCGTCCCAGTCCCAGAAGATGTCGGAGCCGGTGATGCCCTTGGCGATGGCGCGGACCTCGGGGTTGGACTTGCCCTTGGCCTGCTTGAGGAACTCGGCGATGACGGCGGGCTTGTTGGCGTGAGAGCCCTGGTTGATGGCGTCGACGACAGCCTCGGTGAAGAGCTTCAGGCCGGCCTGGGCGGTCCACTGGTCCTCGATGGCCTGCAGGTCGGCGCCGTTCTTGCCGGCGCGCTCGGCGGCCACCATCAGGTCGTTGAGGGGCTTCAGGTTGGGGTTGGTCGCGCCGACGATGAAGGCGTGGTCGCGGTGGTCGATGGTGGAGGTGATGAGGGTGGCGGCTTCGGAGTCGGTACGGGCGATGGCGAGGAGGTCGGTGCCTATTTCTGTTAGTGGGTGGTTCTTTTGATTTCATACTTCCGAGGAAACATACCCATGATATCGGCCTGCGCACGGATGGCGACCAGACGGTTGATGTGCTCGCTGATGGGCACCAGCACCTTACCGGCCATGTGGCCACACTTCTTGGTACCGGGGGCCTGGTCCTCAATGTGGATACCGGCGGCACCGCGCTCGATGAACAGCTTGGTGAGCTTCATGACGGCGGTCAGACCACCGTGGCCGGTGTCGGCATCGGCGACGATGGGGCGGAGGTAGTCGACGTTGGCGACGTTGGCGCGCTGGCTCTTGGGGGTGGTGACGCGCTCCTCGCGCTGTTTCCGGTCGTGGAACAGCTGGGCCAAGAACAGCTGGTTGACCTTGTTGGGGACGGTGTTCATGGGGTAATCGGCCAGATCGGGCGAGGGCTCGTCGGTGGACGAGGCGGTGGACGAGCTCTGCCAGCCGGACACGTAGACGGTGTCGAGGAACTTGGCCATCTGGGTGACCATGGTGGGGTCGAGGCAGCCATAGGTGGCGCTGGCGAGTTGTTTCTATGCTATCGTTAGTCACCCAATCTTTCTCCGGAAATTTTGTCCAAGGATGAATCTCACCTGGAAGTTGTTCTCAACGATCCCCCACAGCTTCTTGCTCTGGGCGTTGGAGGGGTACTCGATCTTGAGGTTGCCACGCTTGGCGACGATCTGCTCGGCGGTATAAGGACGCTTGGTGTACCTCCACCGCGAGTCCTTCCACCAGTTCTGGACGGCCTGCACCTCGGCCTGGTATTGCCGGTCCTCGTTTTCGTAGAGAGACATGATTATAACAGTCTATGGGATATAGGTATATGACAGGGTATGTAAGGTAGGATCCCGAAGCTATACAAGGAATGACAAGACAACAAAACTCCCAAGTCAATGAGGAGGAAAAGAATGCAGAAGAGAAGAGAGTAAAAAAAGGGATCCGAGGCAAATGGCCAAGCGAGACCCAAGGACTTATTTATTCATGGCGAATGCGTCAGAGATCATGGACCATGGTCGGTAAAGGCTCGGCTCAGCGGGAGAAGAAGGGAAATAGCGGCGCCCCCGGCCGGGGAGGGGGCAAAAAAGGGCCTAGGGAGATGAATCATAATCCAACAGACTGTTTCTGTAATACCAGCGACTCCAGTATTCCACCAGATAAATTTTAAGTGGAATTCGTGAAACTGGCGAATGATGAGCAATGATTGGTTTGGTTCGGGAGAGAGGATGAAAACTGGGGAAGATGGAAAGATCCTCGGTCTAATGGATTCATCACCATGACTCCTATGACTGTCGGATGGGGTTGTCTCCTGTCTACCAAGGTGTTTTTGGACTATATCTTTGTTTCGATATCACTTTCTATTCATTATCCTCTCAATGTTATCTTCAATCATTCTATCCCCAGTAATCCCATCTTGATCTTGAAATCCTCGAATCCCACCTGCAAAATACTACATGGATGACGTCGTCAACATGTGCTTGGGTGATCGACATACCATACCTGACAATACCATACGGCCCATCGGAGTGGTCTCGGATGACTCATCTATTCAGCCTGCTGCGGTGGATGATCTCGTCTAATGTCTTGCTGTCCTTGAACCGTATATATTCAAATCCGTTAGTGCATATCTACTCTAGGACGTTATAGTAGATATTCCCTGGTTATCATCCAGTCTTCCATAACGACTAGGTACTAAGGACCTTGAAGACATGAAGAGAATGAATGAATGGATGATACTGGATGGATACATCAGATAATCAGAGAATCACGCTAAGCCAATCAGGCAAATACCTCGGCTTCTTTGCACCAATCATTCTACCGAAATGCATCTCGGATTCTGTAAATTACAGGACGCATTTCTTCCTTCTTTTCCCGAGGCGCATTCTCGTGCTTTTCGTCTGCTTCTGCCTTCATCTGCCTATCCTTCGCTGTTCTCTCGGGCGTTGATCCGAATTGGATCCTTTTCTAGGCTCAATGATATCCCGAGCTGTCAGCTCATTCGGGGTGACTGCTCCCGGAGACATATTACAAGTCCTGCCTACTATACCATAGTTCTAGAGCTAGTATCAACGACTCCGTCCAGAGATCATATACTACACATGTGCCAGTCATTCACATGCCCACTAGTCCTTTTAATAGATGCACCATCTTCCAGCCAATTGACCCATAAATGGCTCAATCGCGACCTGATCAGGTGCCCCTTATCTTATCGCTTGGAATCGGCCTGGCATGTGACGGATGTCCTGTCATGTGATATCCCTGCTGTCAGTCTCGGTCTGTTTGGAAGAAGACGCAATAGCTGGCCCGATGCTGATCGACCGACTCCTTTGTTACTGCCTATGTCAGTCAACAGGCGATATCGCTAGAATGGCTCCGGCGTATCGATCGGTCTCCCGAGACTCCATCCAACCCACATGGGCTAGCTCTCGAAGACCCAACTCTAGGTGGGCTGCCTCGGGCTAGACGGACAACGGTCTGGGCCACGACAGAGTGACACGTTTTATATTCCGTAGCTACTGTGTGCACGCAAAGAGTTTTTGTGGAGAGCCGTCGTACTGTTGACTTCAGTTGGGACAACCTTCTTAGACAAGGGCCAGATTTCTCACCTCATCCCACTTCCAACCTAGTCGATACGTGCAGAGTCTCCAGGAGAGACTGTTGTGTTCGATCGAATGATACCCTGGGCGGAATAAAGTCTGGTGATAGGACTGGACAGCCCTACCTTGATGGTGGTTCGGGTTGTATCTTTGACAGCCTGGTCGGTTTCGTGAGCCTCTCGGCAGGCTTCCTTCTCGTCCACACGGCCCGGCTATCGGGATCTCCCAGGCATCTGTCGCTGCCTTAGAACGTCTTGCCTTATATATTTGTCGCCTCATCACAGTTCTTATTGGGTCACTTAGCCAGTCGTTCTAGGTTGCCATTTGAGTAATAAACCAGACTGTTTGTACCGCTTCTGGGGGCTATTAAGAGGTATACGTTATGAAGTGCATTGAGGTCAAGGAAATACATATACATCTGAATTACGAAACATATATCTCAACCACTGCACCAAAATACCGAATCGGAATTTGGAGGACCTGATATAGCTGACACCACAACAATGTATATTTAGTAAGTCTAACCTGAATCATGATTATATACTCAATGCTATATTAATCTAGGATTAGGTTGATATTTTACCTCTCGACCCATATCCCAAATTTGTGGCGTGAGGATCTATCAACTCGTCAACATAACTAGTACAGCAAAAGCCAGCCAAATCACATTATACACAAAATCGAACACCACTATGTCTCAAACCACAGTCCCACCCCGTTCAAAACCAGCCTGCTCCTGCAGCGCCCTAACCGCAAAAGCAGTTGTAACCCCCCGATTCCCCAACTCCTTTCCCATCCCCGGAAACCGATACATGAACGAAGCCTCCCACCCCCCGTCTTCCAACTGCGCCACCCTTAACGTCTCCACATCGCGAGGATTGGCTATCCCCAACGCACTACAGACCAACAAGCGCATCGCAAGGCACAGCGCGTCCCCTCCAGCGCCGATCCGCTCCTTGATCCGCTGCTTAAGCGGGGCTTCGAACCGGTCCCGCAGGGTCTGGTCGTCTGTTCGGACGAGGAGCCGGCTCAGGTAGTACAGAAACCACTCCGCCGTTGGATAGTATCTGGTGCCGTTGAGGTACGCCCTGTGTAGAAGGATGTCTTGGATCCAGTTGGTTGTCTCTGGAAGTTGGTAACCTCGTGAGTGGATGCAAAACAGGGTGAGCACGTTGAGGCAGATGACGGCGTCGACACGGGGTCGGGATCTATCCAAATAGAGCTGTGTGGGGTACTGTTAGTGCTGTTGGAGTTGAGAGGTAATGGAATGGGGTGAGAGGTGATGGAATGGGGTGAGTACCTGGACGAGGCCGTCTTCGTCGACATAGTCGAGCATTTCGTCTAGAATTGAGTGGACTACCTCTGGACTGTATGGCATGGATGCTAGGGCTAGGGATGTGGTGTCCACGTCGTCGGGGTATTGGGTGGTTGTGTATTTTGGTGTGCCTAGACAGAGCCGTTAGCTTGATATCAGTTGTTGCGACAGGCCAGGGAGGCTACCGCTGAAGAAGTTCCAGAATCGTTGGGGTCGTTTGAGTTCGACGAGGTTTCTGACAGATAGAATCAGCATTGGCACTGCACGCCCTGGTATGTGGAGAGCCGTCAAAGGAGTGAACTTACGAATCACTTGTAGTATCCAGGATCAGCAACTGGGAATAGTTTTCCAGCACGACCTCCCCATCAATCGTCGAGAAATGCCGTCCCGCATTAAAGGTCAGATACGCACGACCTCTTTCCACAGAGTCCCCGACCAGACTCCGCAACGACCGCGAGAGCGCATCCGCAGTCTTGAAAAGAACCCCTCGCATCCCAAGCCCGCAGCCGCTAAAACATTCTCAGGCCGGTCATCCACAAACACAGTCTGACTAGGGCTGGCACCGGTATTCCTCAATAGATGGCGGTAGAACCGCGGACTCGGCTTGCGGACTCCCACTTTGCACGAAGGAAAAGAGTAGTCAAACAGCGACCAGAACGGGGGTCCCCACCGCTCTTGGAGCGCCGTGTAGTCTGGCAGGGAGATGTTCGAAGCCATGATCAACCGCACGCCGGGGGTGCTTTTCTTGAAGGCCCATAGACCGGCTACCAGGTCGTGGTCGTAATCGGAGGCCTCGCGCCCTTTTTGGATGGCTGTTGCTAAGTCGCCTTTTTGGAGACCGTATTGGTTTGCTAGGAGCTGGTAGCATTCTTCTTCTTCGAGCTTGCCGCATTCGTAGGCCATCCATGTTGAGGTGGATGTTAGTCTTCGGACGGAGACTGGCAACGAGTCTTCGGTGGGAAGCAGTACATCGTTAGATGGCGGGTCGGTGAATACGCCCCCTAGATCGAAGACGATATGGGATACATTTGCTTCTGTGGGTTTGAAACGGGACATGTTGTGGAAGGTAGATCACGATGTAGTAGTGGTTGTTGTAACGGAGAATATTTACACCTAGGCTAATCATCTCTACTAGGTGCCCTCTCCTTTTATACTAATGCTGGAGTTGGCCTCTTTCTCACCGATGTGTGAGGAATCATGGGCTGTTTGCCGAAGTAGTGGCCATGACATCTACTGCAGAGAATCATCGTACATCAAGAATCGTAAACCATGCAAGGGTACATGATAATGCAGGGTTACTCAATGGTCAATACGTTGTTGAATGGTGACCTTTCACCCGAACAGTCCAACATATAAGCCCAACCCAACAATCCGGCGGGTTTTCTACTGGTCCTTTTCTTCTCATTCCACCCTCCCATCACCAACCCAGTGGGTGATAGAAACTTAATCACCAGCATCAGAATGGCCACCAGGTATCGTCTACCTTTTCACATGGCATGGAGCGTAGCTATGGACATGCTAACTATGCACAGACTCGAGGACAACCTCCTAAAGCTGGTCTCCGAGGGTCAGCACGTCGACGCAGATGAAGTGACCGCCCTTTACGACCGACTACCGCCGGTATCTGTACAGGAGCTCCTAGGAGACTGGCAAGGACTTGCCATTCAAACCGGCCACAAAGACATCGAGACCCTGGACAGCATTGGCTGGGTGGGGAAGACATTCCATTCCCCCAACGAAGTGGACCCGGTCATCGTCCTGTCTCCAGACGGGAAGCGCGTGGCCAATGGAGAATGGGGCGCAGCACGAGTGGGTTCAACATTTGCAGCAATCTAGATCAATCCGCTAATAATTGAATACTGTGTGTGCAGATCTACGAGGTCCGCTTCAGAGGAATTATCTCAGCCGCCATGGTCTACGATCAGCTGCCGATTATTGACCATTTTCGGCGTCTCGAGGACAACGTTCTGATTGGCGTCATGGACAAGAAGGGTGCATGCGGGGACTTTGGGATGGCGTTTATTCTACGGCGAATTTGAAACGGGCTTTGAGGGACAGGGTTGGGATGGTTCCATGTCTCATAGTCTATGGTTTCCATGTGCCCCGCGGTATACAAGACGAGAATAACAGTGTGATGATTGGTGACGACCCTGTGAGACCTCGTCTCTGTACGGCACCTTTCAAAAAGAAGGGCCACACAGAACACTCGAGATATATGGTACCGTTCTAGTATAGGGCGGTCAGTAGGTTATAGGTTGAGCGTGTCAGTAGAGAAGCAAGTCCGATCCGAATAGGGCATGGGAGCTAGTGAGAACCTGCAGAAGTCTAGAATAAGTCGTATCATTGCATTAGATAGATTCTACATATCCCGAAGAAATGACACTAATATCATGGAATGGGCGTACTGGTCAATCACCACCACCCCTTACATCGCCTGCTTCATCTGCAGGATGATGTCTCATGGTATGACAAACAAGTGCCGTGCAACATGACTCGACGTCAGCTCTACGACAGCAGCGGTCAGCAGGTACGGGGTGGATTGTAAAAGAAACTGGCCGCATACCGAAGAGAGCTGTTGGACAGTGTCACCCCAGCAGAAGAAGGGAAGCGCCAACAGTTTTTACCATTGCTAGAGTAAATATCTCCAGGGATTCCAAAGGAGGGCCTGAGAAGATGGGTTTACTCTTTTACCTTGGCAGTCTTGTGAGTACACTCATATCTATGGATTCCAAGCTCATCTAGACACAGGCCGCGCTGTATATCCTCTGGAAAGTGGTATACAACCGACACATTCACCCCCTCAGCCACTACCCCGGGCCATTCCTAGCCAGCGTCTCCAGAATCCCCTTTGCTACAGCATACATCCGCGGCCATCTACACACCTACGTACGCAATCTCCACCAAACGTACGGCGATGTCGTCCGAGTAGCCCCCGACGAGCTCAGCTACCAGAACGAGCAAGCCTGGAAGGACATCTACGGTTTCGGCCGGAACTTCCCCAAGGACACCCGGTTCTTTAACGTGGCGCGGAATGGCGCCTGCAATATGGCGGTAGCTCCAACCGATGAGATCCATCGTCGCCAACGGCGGGTTCTCGGCGGGGCGTTCTCAGACACCGCGCTGAAGCACCAGGAGCATCTGCTTCAGCAATACGTCGATAACATGATCCAAAGACTGCAGCAGCAGAGCACTAGCGCGACAGAAGCGGTTGACCTCACCGAGTGGTTCAACTACACGACCTTCGACTTCATGGCAAAGTACGTATTCGGCGAGTCGCTCTCCTGTCTGGAAGACGCGCAATACCACCCCTGGGTGAAGATGATATTTGCAGCCATCCGGGCCTGGGCCGTAATCAGCTTGTCCAAATACATCCCCGTGCTGTCATACCCAATTAAGATAGTCACGCTGTGCCTGTATCGCCGTCTTCTCAAAGACCGCGAGGCGAACTTCCGCTTCAGTGCCACCAGGCTCGCTCAGCGTATGAGTCGTCCTGACGATCCATCTCCGCCGGACTTCATCTCGCACGTCAAATCCAGCCAGGGCCCCAAGGCGGTCCTGTCAGATGATGAGATCCGCGCAAATGCTAGCTTTTTCATGATTGCCGGGAGCGAAACCACGGCGACCCTGCTCTCGGGGTGCATTTTCCTCCTGCTGACCAGACAAGATACTTACCGCGAGTTGGTATCGCAGGTCAGGGCTCGCTACCCGACGCCCTCGGCGGTCACATTTGCCTCGACAGCTGATTTCCCTTACTTACGAGCTGTGGTGCATGAATCGCTACGCATGTATCCACCAACGCCTTTAGGTATGCCCCGGGTGGTGCCCGAGGGGGGTGCCATGATTGCAGGGCGATTCGTCCCTGGAAAGGTGAGCAGAGCTATCTTCTCCCCAAGACTAGATCCAATATACTAACCACTGTATAGACTGCAGTATCTGTACCACACTACGCCGCCTACCGATCACCAGCAAACTTCAGTCATCCGAATGACTTCCTTCCAGAGCGGTGGATGGACAACGCAGGAGACGAGTACTCCGACGACCAAAAGGAGATTTTCCAGCCATTTTCAGCAGGTCCCCGCGCCTGCGCAGGCAAGAGGTACGTCGAAATCATCACAACACCCGTATAGAATACTGGAACTGACACCCCCTAGCTTGGCATACGCAGAAACATATCTCATCCTCACCAGGCTTCTTTGGCATTTCGACCTGGATCTACACCCGCAGTGCGCGGATTGGATAAACCAGCAGGCTTTTGTCGTATGGAACAAGAAACCTCTTCTGGTTCGGTTGACGGTGCACAACGCTGCATAAGTCTGTCGCCTCGGTTAATCTGGGATATGGAGATAGAAATCAAAACAGAAGTTGTAAGACCTGGGAATAGGCGTGTAATGCGTAGATCACAGTAAGCTAGTCATTTATCTGTATCTGTCTGCATTTGGGTATAGATCCAGCAGCAGCACGTGACAATATAGCACACCGCTGAAGCGCCACATATATCATATCCACAGGGTGTATCATCGCATGATCATCTATCTAGTTATTACTTCTGCACCACTAGCCAATACTTCAAACCAGATAAGAACTAACAGTGACACAAAGAAGGTGCGCGCCCTAATACCAGGCTCACAGGGAGGGAGAGGTGCAAAAGCATCTCGCGCTCCACTGTATATCTATATATAGACCACTCCGCAGTCAGTGACTTTCCCTATGGGTTCACGCCAGGGATTATTAGCGCAAACAGTATGTTCAGTGAGCAATGCAGTGCAGCCAAGACGACTAACCTCTGGGCAGACATGCATGTAGGAGTCAAAAACAGGTTATCCGTCTGCATCGCCGATTGGGGATCTGCTGTAGGGTTCATCAGAGAGCGGGTCTGTTGGTCGTTTTTCTCTCCCTCTTTCGTTTATTTCTTTCTATCACTTTTTTTGCTGTACTCTGCCGTCCCCTTGATCCATGCATACACCGCGTAATGAAGTGCTATAGTGGTCAAGTTTTGCTTCGACTATCCAATTATCCTTGCTCCTTGCTGTGATACTTGATACTCCTTCGCAGAGTATACGAGGTATACATGTGCAGTAACTGGGTCTCTATTCACTCCTTTTCTCCCATAATACAAGCAAGAAGAAAAAGTGGGCTGCAGAATTGACGAATAAGCGGTCTACATGCAGAGAGCCAGCGGTGTGGGTGTCAAGGGATTTATCTCTTGTTTGATTCAATTTACAGTAGGCTTACCTATGGATAATCCTTATGTCTATTGCTTAAATTGGGGTTTATTCTTATTTCCATGCTGAGAAACAAAATCGCCTGTCCTAATCGGAGGGTGAACAAGAAACCGGTATCCTTCTGCACTACATAGCTCAATAGTACTAACAACCTGACCCATCTAGGTAGATAAGTATGAAGACACGAGACCGGCCTCAAGATAGACAGGACGTATACCCAAAAGAAAACAAAAAATCAATGCGTGGCAATGCCGACAACACGAGCCTTAACACTCCAATGTCCTTTCTCAGGCCGTGCAACGACACAATCGCGCGCAAATTCCACATCCTTCGGGCTAGTATTGTGGAGCTCGAGATCAAATCGACGGATGATAGTAGAAAGGAGCATGTAGATTTGGGCCGTGGCCAGACTGGTCGATAGTCAGTAGTCGAAAGTGGATTAATTCAATACACCATCACTTACTAGTGGCCAATGCAGTTTCGGTTGCCTCTCGAGAAGGGAACCAATGCCTGTGACATTTTAATCAATTGTTCGGGAGAGGCTTCAAGCCATCGATGTGGGTTGAATGATTCAGGATCTGGGAACGGATCCGGGTGCATGTGAATCAGGCGTGCGCTGGAGCTGACTATAGACTACCCCGACTGTTAGCCCAAGGAATGGTTGGGGTTTCTTCTCTACTTACCCCCGGGGGAATGACGTGACCATGGCTCACTAGGGTCTCCGAGACAGGCACACGAGCGATACGAATCGTCCCAGGCGAGAGCCGCAGCATTTCATTCACCACCGCTTTCTGTTTGATATCAGCTACATCTGGTCGTCAAGAGACAGTGGAAGAGGAGGCCAACCAAGAGGGGGAGCTGTTCCAATTCCAGCCACGGAGCAGGACTCGTCGGAGAGGGCATCACGCCGCGGAGCTCGTCGCGCAACTGAAGCCACAGCGGCGGCCTCTGCACGAGATGGTACAGACCGACCAGCAAAGTCCCACTAGTGGGGTCTGACGCCGCCCCAAGAATGAGGTTGACATTATCCCTAATGAACTCAGGCGCTCGAGCCTCGGCCGGTAGCGAAGGATCATTTAGAATATCAATCACCGTTCGGACCCCACCGACCTTCGTCTCTGACACTTGATGCAACCGATCCTGCAGGTCGTTGATCCCCGCAAGATTGGGCCGCAACCAGCAGATGAAGAAGGACGGAAGTCGTTGGATGAAGCCAGGAAGCCAGGGAAAGAAGCGATTGAGGTGGAACTGGTCCGTCATCTCGCGCATCGAAGACGTGATGACATTGCTGAACTTAGTATCCTTCAGGAACCCCAGGTCTTTGCCAAAGGTATACTGCGTCACCGTGTCTGCCGCCAAGCCGGTGAACTCGGCGTCCAAGTCCACAACGCCGTCGTTCTCGCCGTGGTAGGCTGCCTCGACATGCTCTGCGACGAGGCCAACTTTCTGCTGCACGAGCGGGAGGATTTCGACGATGGCTTTCTTAGAGAAGGCTGGATTGAGCTGTTTCCGGCGTCGGCTGTGATGGTCATGGTCGATGATGCTGGGAAGAGCCTCGGAGAGACCAAATCCGCCCACGGAGGTCAAACTCTTGTCACGCTTGCGACCTCCTGATGCGCAAATCTCGCTGTAAAAAGAGGGCTCGTTAACGTGGACCTGGTTCGGGTTGATGCGGACGACCGGGCCTGGTGCTAGTGTTAACATGATCGAATGTGAGAGAGATTATATCTGATCCAACCGTATTTCTTGTGCATTTTCTCAACCTGCCATAGATATTTCCCGCCTCGGACGACATCGTAGTAGAATTCTGGGAGCCGCGTGACGGCCGCCAGCTTTGGGCCTGGGATCTTAGAAAGAGGGTGCAGGTAGAGGCGGTAGATACATCTTAGTAGCAGGAGGCCAATGGCCAGAATGGGAATTATCCACATGGTGCGTTTGATGAGAGGTTCGTTGGGTTCTTTTTAGGTGTAAACGAGTTATGGAACCCAATCCGGCATGCCCTGTAGAAGAGCACGAGTGCGACCGCTATATAGTCTGCCTAGCTTTTGATCACCATCTAGAGTAGAAGGGGACATACTTCGTGGAGTGGGACGCGTTGGTGGCAGTTGCCGTGTGGGGACCAACGGAAGAATCAAGCCCCAGGATTCGATGCCTACTAATTATGCGCCGTTGGTGATCACTCCGCATATTTGGAATGCAAGGGAAAAACCGACAACTCAGCACAGATATGTAAGGGCTATAAGACGTAGGATGCCTAGTATCTACCACGAAAATTCCAAATTCAGACGCATTGTGGTATCGATACGAAGAAGTAACTTAGATACAATGCTGTATAGGCCACGATTGGCCTCCTCTTTGGCCCCGCAGTGGGCACTTTGGGAACCAAAATGAGGCTACGGACTAGAGAGACAGAAGTTGCAAGTATCAAGAGTAGCCATGATGGTGAGGTATACAGCAGGTGTCGCAGTAGGAAATGTGCAGAGGAAAAGGAACTATCACAGACGAGACACCCCAAACAGCTGTATAAACAGCCTCACCTTCCACACCCCAACAACTAAAAACCAAAAGCCTGGTCCCCAAGAGTCACAGTCGACGTGCTATTCCGAACAAGATGGCCAGACAGACGCTCCACCACCGGCAGTCTATGGAAAGAGTCCGAGTCCGCCAGTGACGGGAATTTCAAATCCCAATCTCCCTCCCAGACCTCCCCATCCTGCAGATTGAAATCAACCTCGACAAACTCCCGGACTGAAGGGGCCGCTCCGGGCACCGAAGACGGAATAAGTCTCAAATTCAAAACCAGGCTCCCCTCACTCCCGGGATGCAGCGGACCATGGGCACACTGGCGGTTGACCGGCGCGAAGGAAGATTCCACCACTGGCCCGCTTGTGTCTGTGTGAGCTGTGCAGCTCCCTCGGATGACGTTGCTTGAGTCTGCCTGTTTAGGGTTGAAGTCTACTTGGCCCAATACTTTCGGGAAGCCAAAGACTTCTCGGCCGATGTAGACGGCGATTTGGTTATCCAGAACTAGGAACATGGAGTAGTTGTACTTCTTGCCGTTGTAGACCACTTCCACGAATTGGATGACTTCGTGACAGGTGCCCATGGGCGAGTCCCCGTAGTCGACGAACATGATTGTTACAATAGGCGATTGTTCGACTGAGAGATTGGAGGGGATGAGGTCGCGCACAAGATTGCCATCTGTGCGGTACTTCATAATGACGGAGCTGATACCGCTCCAATGCATGGTCTTCGGTGGTGTCTGGTACGGGGGGGCGGAGATTGGGACTGGGACATTCAAAGCCGCCGAGGGGATGTTTCCAGGAAGAAGAGTCATGGTGTGTGGTATTAACCGTTGTTTGAAATGGATCTGTGTTTGGCTTTTGAGTGATCTTAGTGTTCGCCAGGAGTGATATTGAAAAGATCTATGTCTTCTGTGGCTATTTATATGTGACAAACACCCAGGGAAATTTCGACGCTGGAGAATGTAATACGATGACTACGAAAAGGTATATCTGCAGTTGGTGAAGGAGAGACTTGCATTCAGCCGACATCAGCTGCCTTGCAGGGCTTTTCTACTAGTGTAATTCTATTCTTGTAATCCTGCAACTATTCGCAACCACTTGATAGCTTCATGTTCCCCAAATCATTCCCAATTCGGACTGTTCTCATTCGTGTCCCACGCATTGAAAAATGCGCTATAGCAACGGTATCCATACATGTAAAGTTACGATGAGTGCCTCAAGATGTGACCAAAAGATCAATTGCATGCATTAGTCACAAGTGACTTTTCACCGCAATTTAGGACATCGTACTGTAGTTATGGCACCCCGCCTACCCCGCGGGTTGACCTACGCTATAAGGTCCACTCTATAAGGTCCACGCTAAAAGGGCTATACTATAAGTCCCAGTGATCTTAGCCCTAACAAGGAGATCCTCCCTTCAGAGGGTTCCTTTGAGTCCCTTCCCGTGGTAACACGAATCTCAACGACTCAAAGGATTCATTTCGGTCCCTTCCCGCGGTGGCAAGGATCTCGACGGCTCAAAGGATTCATTGTGCGCCTGCCCTCCTCCTAACGAGGTGATACCAGCTCAAAGGTACTCCCCCTCCACAGCTTACGTTTTTGCCCCTTATCACAGTCCCTCTATCTTGTAAGCGCGAGTATTTAAGGGTTGCTTGAATGTTTGTAGACCTTTTAACTGAACAGGCACCTCTTCAATCCCAAGTCGCGGAGAAGTGGCTTATGACCGTCTGCGTTCAATGTCCTCTCCAATGACTGTCTTCAATATGGACACCTCTTACCTAGCCTTGCCCAATATGGGACTGGATCTGCCCCTCTACGGGATCGTCCTGGTTGCGATAACAAGTGCATTTGCCATTCAAGCGTTTTATCGCCTTTACTTTCACCCTCTGGCGAAGATTCCTGGTCCCAAACTCACAGCTGTTACCTCCCTGTATGAGTTTTACTATGATGTGATCTGTGGAGGCCGATTCCTCTTCCAGATCGAGAAGATGCATGAACAATATGGTGCGTCTAAGCATAGAAAGCAACTGGAGTCCAGCCCGATGTGTTAACTAGTTTATAGGACCCATTGTTCGGATCAATCCACGCGAAATCCATATCATAGATCCCTCATTCTACCATGAGATCTACGCCCCATCAACCCGCAAGCGCGACAAGGAGCCCTCCTTCGTCAACACGTACGGTGTTCCTTACGCAATGGTCTCAACCGTCAAGCATGACCACCACCGTTACAGACGCGGTCTGCTGACTGACTTCTTTTCCAAGCGCTCCGTGCTGTCTCTGTCACCGGTAATCGAAGCGCGAGTCGAACGACTCATGGAACGATTGGAGGAATATCACGAAAATGGCCGCGTAGTCAATATCTGCAACGCCTTCGGTGCCCTAACGTCGGACATCATCACGCACTACTGCTACGGCAAGCACTGGGGGTTCCTCGAGGACGAAGAGTTCCGCAGTGACATCCGGACAGCGACAAATGACTTTACGGCCTTCAGCCACGCGAACCGCTTCTTCCCGTTCTTGACGCCCCTGCTGCGGAGTGTGCCTACGAAGATTATGGCTCTGCTTATGCCAGGCAAGGCCACCCTGTTTGAGTTCGAGAGGTCGATTTTTCAGCATTTCTCGGCTGTCATCCAGGGGAAGGTGTTTACCCTCACGGGAGACCATAACATTGTGAAAAGACTGCACAACCCGGAAATTCCCGCCGAGGAGAGAACGCTGAGTCGTCTGCAAGACGAAGGGTTCACTTTCCTCGTTGCAGGCACGGAAACGACGATGCGTGCTCTGTCTTTTGCCGCGTATTACATTTATCAGGACCGTGCGATTCTGGAAAAATTGCGGAGTGAGCTCAGAGAGGTGTTGCCTACACCAAACAGCAAAACAACATGGCCCACGCTGGAGAAACTCCCTTATCTAGTACCTCTTCCCACGTTTCTCTTGACCCGGTGGATACTAAGCAGTGTGACCTAGAACGCCGTGATCAACGAAGCCCTGCGCCTCTCCAACGCTGCTATCATACGACTCCCTCGCGTGGCTCCCCACGAGACTTTGCAATACAAGGAGCATGTCATCCCTCCAGGGGTATGTCCAAGCCCCTCTTTCCAAGATAGCATCCCACAGCTAAAGGAGTGCAACACCAAAGACCCCGATGAGCACCTCCATCTATTTCGTCCACCGCAACCCAGCCATCTATCCGGACCCGCAGAAGTTCGACCCGGACAGATGGATCAAGGCGGCTGAAACAGGCGATCCTTTACACCGATATCTAGTCCCGTTCACCAAAGGGAGTCGAATCTGCATTGGAATGAAGTGAGTGTTCTCTCCTAAAGATAGAGTCATGATTGGACTAGGCTAACTTTGATCCAGCCTTGCCTTTCTGGAGATGTACCTAGCAATCGCATATTATATTCGCCGATTTAACTTGGAGATCTGCGACACTGACCCCGAGAGCATTCGGGTCACGCGCGAGAGGGTAGTCGGGTTTCCTGAACATGGTGGATTGCAGATTAAGGCGCGGGTTACAGCTGTGCTGGAGGATTGATGTTCTTTCTATCTTGTTTTCGTTTTTAATTTTGGGGGGGGGGCATCTTTATCATCTAGTCAGTTCTGATTTGTATCATTGCGCTGTTTTGTATTGCATTCACTGACTGAACCCCATGCTGTTATCCTGTCAGATTCTAGAGCGTGTAGAGCATAGCGTCACCCATCCAGTTTTTTTTCAAATTATCATCGCAATCTATGGTTCAAACATACTGTTCTTTTGGTCTCCCACAGAGACGTCTGGATCGGGCACTCCGTCGGTCACGGACCACATGGAGCCCTATCCCTGTCACTCTCGCTGCCGCTCTCCGAGCCGTCCCACTCGATGTGTTAATCCTGCCGTCCCCACAAGCCATTCTTGTTCCATCGGACTGGCTCCATCGAGATTTCCCTATACTAGACATTCTGCAGTCTGCAGTTCAGTGGCTACGACTCGTGGAGACACTGACGAACCTAAAGAGGACGGCGACAAGCCTTGTCATTCGTTCGAAAGTGACCAAAAGCAAACAACCGGAAACCACGAGATCCAACAAAGTTCACCCTATCCAGCCGCTTTCCCAGCCAAGAGCAAACCCTCTTACCCACAATCGCCATGGACGGAACCCAAATACCACATCCCGTTGGCTGCCAGCCAATGAAGGGACGCGTTGGCTCAGCTGCCTCGTATTCGAGTTAGGGATCTACCACTTACATAACCTGTTACGTGCGGGAAACGATGAGGATTCTTGCGTAAAACATAGACATAAAAGAGGAGAGATTGCTGTTTTATACTCGACTCTGGGTATCTACAGATATCATCCTGAAAACGTTAGCCTGACAGGGGCCTATCATGAAGATCTTTTTTGGTATGGCAACCCACGAACGAGGCTTCGGGTCGAGAGAGGTAGGGAGGAGAGGTATCATCTATCTGCACGAGGCTGGCCTGCCAAGGGACTACTGCTAGGCAGTAATCTCCGCGTTGCCAAGTGATGATCGTCCCCTTTCACGATTAGGTGGACACGGGCGAGATTTTTATATCTAGGGTTGCGAGCGGTTGAACCGTTTCTCAGGTGGATACATGTTGTGTCTCACACACATACACACAAACACACACACACACACACACATACGCACATACGCCGACGTCGTGTCTCTCTCCCACGACACACGCAGAGCAAAACTCGTATACATATACATACATGTCCTTCTTTACATACAGAAGACGGCAGCCAAGACCCCGACCAAAATGCACCTCTCCCTCCCCGCCCTCCCCTCCCTCCTAACGATCATCACGCCCCTCATAACACTCACCCTCCCCCCACCAACAACCGCCTGGGCCTTCGCCTACACCAACCAAACCGGCAGCACGCGCTTCATCCACGGCTACGAAAGCGACCTGCGCAAATGCACAGTAGCCAACATCGCGAAGGGCAAGCTCGTCGACTACGACTCGCAGGGGGACCGCGTCTGCGTCTCCATCTACCGCGACGAGACGTGCACCGATAGCGCGGGCTACGCGTGCCATACGCATGTGCATAACGCGAGTGCCAATTTCGCTGCTTACTCGATTTATCCGCGGGAGGAGGAGGCTGCGGGAGGGGGGCTAAGTGGGGGGGCGATTGCGGGGATTGTGGTTGGGGTTGTTGCTGCTTGTGCTGGGGCTGGGGGTTTTTGGGGGTGGTTTGGTGGAGGAGGAAGAGGGCGCGAGGGGTGCGAAGGGGGAGGTTGGGGAGGAGGAGGAGGAGGAGGAGGAGGAGGAGGAGGAGGAGCATGATGATACTAGTGCTGTTGGCTTGAAGCAGAGGGGAGCAAGAGGGGGTCTGGGGAGTCGAGTGCGAGGGGGGATAGTGCTCATGGGGATGGGGATGGGGATGGGGATGGGGATGTGGGTGGGAGGGACTCAGGGTTTGAGAGACCGTCGGAGTTGATGGGGGATGCAGGGTTGAGTGAGATGAGTGATAGTCACCGCGTGGTGGAATTGGGGGACAGTGGTCGTGTTGAAAGACATCCTCAAATGAAGGTCGCAGAGCTAGGGTGAGGATGGATGAGACTATGTCTTGTTGTATTCCTGTTTAATATTGCTATATGCCTATTTAAATTGCTATGTAGCGGAGTATATAATATACCAGACCTGTCAGTGGGAATTGATCTGATACATCCAAGCTCCAGAGACTCCCCGCCAGTTCACGCGACAAACCCTTGGTAGATCTCATTGAGAACATCGCGCTTACGCTTCCGATCCGCCTGCTCCGCCTCCTCCGCATCATCCATCGCATCTGCCTCCGACCCCCGCGACGCCCAAGCCCGGACCGTGCCATCGCCATGCGCAGAGAACATCTCCAGACCCGCCCCAGACGCCCCATTCCCACGCCAGACGAGCGCATTGATCCGCGCCGCGGTCAACGCGCTCGACCGTCCGCGGAAATCTCTCCGACCGGTCGTGACGAGGCCCGGCACGCGCAGCCGCTTGACAAAGGCCCCCTCGCGGAACTCGAACATGAAGATCTCGCCGCGGTCGTCCTGCTCGTTGAAATTAGGCCACAGCAGCGTTTCCCGCCCGGGTTCCATGACGCCTGTGGGGACGAGGAGGGGGGCGCGTTCCGCCAGGTGCGAGGTGACGCTGTTGCGGACGCGGGGCCCGAAGTGGACGAGCGTATTGGCGCCTGTCGAGGCGTCCCAGACGCGGATGCGCGCGTCTTGGCCCGCGGTTACGAGGTGGGTTCCGGCTGCGGTCCATCGGACGCCGGTGACGGCGCCGTTGTGGGCGCGGGCGTGCGGGGAGAAGGGCGGGCCGGGCTGGTGGGACGGTGGGGCGAGGCGGGGAGGGACTAGGCCGACGGCGTCGTCCATGTCTAGGGCGGCGATGGCGGAGTTGTGGCCTCCGCGGCGGATGTCGAAGAGGATGACTCGGTGGTCGGCGGAGGCGGAGGCGAGGATGTGGGGTTGGTGCGGGGCCCAGGCGACAGAGAGGACGGATGAGGTGTGGCCCGGGAGGCCGTGAGTGGAGAATCCCGATCGTAGGTCGAGTAGTCGGACGGGTTTCTCAGAGGTGCCGACGGCGATGAGGAGGGGCGATCCCGGGTGCGAAGACAGGGAATGCGTGTATGGGGTGCAGTCCAGTCGGAAGGTGTGGACAGGGGTGATGGCGGCTGGCTCCAGGGCCGAGAGCTTCAGCGTGCCGTCGTGCGACGTAGTGAGGATGGTCGACGGGACTGGATCAAAGGGATAGATGGAGACCGATGTGATAGCCCGTGTATGGGTGTCTGTCTGTGACGATCGGTCCACCGAGGCCACCGGCCGATGGATATGGTGCTGTTCGGACCCGCGCGTCTCGAGATCCCAGAGATGGATCGATGGATCCGCGCCCCCGGAGACCATGCTGAACGATTGTCAACAAGCATCCTTGGCTACAAGAGACCTGAGACCTACAAACGGCCTTCATAGTGGTCGATGGCCAGCACGTTGGTGCCCGATCGGTGGGCCAATATATGATCGGGGTCATCCTCGGGGGTCTGATCTCCCCCTTGATCGCTCCTGTGATGGGAAAATCGGATTCCCGGCGCTGGTTCCAAGTTATGGACCAGGTTGGTTGTCTGAGCGACCTGGAAGCTGGACGGAGCGACAGACCCAATGGTCCGGTTCAAGAGATACGCATTCATTCATTGACGGAAGTTTGGCAAACTTGAAGTTGAAGTTGAGACGCGATCGATTGGCGGGGAGTTGGTTGCCTGTCTTTTCTGGCAATCGGTCACGGGGTCCGTGCACGTGCCTTGCTCCATTACCGCGGTTTATCTTCATATAATTCAAGATATCAAGATATCTCATTCAATAATCGCCTCGATTAGATATGATTGAAGGCTGTATGCTTTTCGTACCACTGAAGCTGATAGCAAAAAGCGATGAAATGAGGTCAACAACACTATGACAGTGGTACTCGAGCGTGTTGGTAATGAGATCTACTAACCATGGAATCGTACAAACTTGCGAGTATTAACCAAAAAAACATAACATTTCCTCCATCTCAGTGTACCTCATCCATACTCTCATCCTCGTCAGAACTAGCCTCCCCATTCAGGCGCTTCCATTCCGCAACCAACCCCCGATAATCCCGCGGCCCATGAGGCTGAAACAAATGAGCCCAAAAGCTCGACTTGCGACGCGTAGAAACACCCAAATCGCCCAAAAGAAGGTCCAAATACGGAAGAAGATCAAACGCAAAGTCCGGGTGCAGATGGCCATACCCGCCCGGACACCTCCACTTCCCGAACTCGGTGTGGAGGGCTGTTTCCCACACGATGTCTTCGTGGGCTTTGTTTGACGCTCCCTCGACTTCAGTGCTGGAAAGGAGGGCACTGATGGGGCTGGTTGGTGAGAGTCGGTTGGCAAAGTATGCAGTGGCCCACAGACCCTGAACCTCGGCGACCATGCTCGTAGCGAAGGACACGAGGTTCCCGACGAGGACTAGAGATCGATCTTGCAGGAAGGCAGGGGGGACCATGAACCGAGTGAGGCGAAGAGGGTGTGCTGTTTCCCGCTGGATGGAGTTGCCGTTGAGGGCTGGCTGGCTGCGGAGGGTTGGGAATCGCCGCAGGATCTCCTGGGTAGCACGATCCACTGTTTCTTCGCTCAGATAATCTGGCGATCCAGGGAAGCCGATCTGGTGGGCGAGATTGGCCGGGACGAACTCGATATCAGGGGTCGATCTCCACCCAGTGCAGCACACCAAAGCGGTCGTAATAATTTGGTCTCCATTCGAGAGGTGGACCGTCCTCGAAGACAGCCGGGCGATATCAGCAATGTGAACCCTCACCAACCCCTCCCGCACATACTGAAAGAAGTCGGTGGGATAGTTCAAGATATTAAACGTCGACGCGACCCAGAACGGATGAATCCACGGCCGCAACTTCTCCGTTTCAGGGTGGTCCTCATACCGATTGACAGCATTTACCTGTCTCCCCATGATCCCCCAAAAGGCGTCCACGATCTTTCTTCCCAACCACGTCCCATGGAGAAAGCGGCGCACTTTGCAAAACCCGTCCGCCTCGCCCCAAACGCACGGGCTCAACAGCGTAGTCAACCGAGTAGCCACAAAATCCTCCATGGGCCGCTGGAAGGGCGCCGAAAACGTCGGCACCATCCACGCCGGTCCGTGGCCCGACTCCCGAATCACCCAGTCTACGGAGACGCCGGAGGATGCGCACGCGTATACCGTATCCCACGCGGACTTGGTCCCTCCCAGCACCGTGACGAACGCTGCCTCCTCGAGGACCTTGCTCTCGTACCGCGCTAGGTCGCGCACATGGAATATTGGAGCCCCAAACTCATCTTGTCCCGCCAACTGCGGCATAGACGGCTGCGAAGTCAACCCAGTAGCGAGGATCAACCTCGGAGTCTTGATAACACACGCAGTACCCCCAGTACTACTATCATCCACCGCACGACCATCATCAACAGTCAACGCCCACTGCTTGTCATCCGTATACTCAGCCTTCATCAACTTGCACCGCAGCCGGATTTTATCCCCTAGCTCACTCTCCTTGACATAGGCCTGCAGATAAGCGTGAACCGCATCACCGGGGATGTGCCGGCCGGCGCGGACGCCAAACTGCGCTTCTGCCATGGGGAGGTCGCTGAACTCGTAGGAGCCGAGCAGGTTGTTTGTTCGGAGACCGCGGTAGAGGCGCTCTTTGGCCCAGACGCCGCCGATGGATGCGCTGCTGTCGAAGATGATTATTTTGTGCGTGGGGTTGACTTCGAGGTATGCTTTTGCGGCGGAGATTCCGTGCCAGCCTGGGTGGGGGTTTTGTTACTTGGTTGGATTGTTGAAGGTGGAGGGGAGGGGAGGGGAGGCGTACCGGCGCCGACGATTACCAGGTCGGCGGATTCTATTTGAGGATGGGTTGGATTGTTCATTTTTTGACGAAGTGAAATAGGTGTTGGGTAGCAGGTTGAGAGGAGTTGTTATGGGGAGGTGAGGAAGCAGACGGTCATTAAAGACTGGGGAGACATTGGTAACAAAGGACAAAGGAATGATAGAGTGAATGCTACATGATCTATACAGTTGCCAGTAACTGGTCGGATAAGGTACGCAGACACCGTCCCAGTGCGTATCATTAGTATGATGACTCTTCATCTTGCATTTTCGGAAGGATGGTCAATTAGATCCTATAATTGGCAAAAGCCAGGCTACCAGTGATAGCAAGGATCCCCTGTATTGCCCAGTCTATTCATAAACCGCGGTGAATATCCAAATGGCTCAACTCAAGTACACCAATAACATCATACCTAGCGTAGTTCAATACCCAGCTTATCATTCCGAGTCATGTGTGTCCTCAGTGGACGACAAGCATCACCCCAGTTGACCAGAAAATTCTCAACCACACCTCTCCCTCGGCACTATATCAGCCATCATATCAGACTGCTGCACGAACCAGACATTGCGGATCTTCCACGGGTTATCCGGCCGATGCAGGCGCACCTCGTAGCGGCGCAGAATCTGCGGGACAAGCTTATGCATCTCCATGAGAGCGAGCGATTTGCCGATACACAGACGGGAGCCACCTCCAAACGAAAAGAAAGCTTGCTCTCTTGCCTTTAGCTCCGCAGGCGACCCGTCGAGCCATCGCTCCGGAATGAAGGCTTCGGGATCCGGGAACACGCTCGCGTTGCGGTGCATGGACCAGGGGTTGACGCCGACGACAGTGCCGGCTGGAAAGTACCGGCCCGCGATGGTGGCGCCGCCCTTGGGGACCTCGCGCTCCATCATCAGTCCGGTGGAGGGGTGGATACGCATGGCTTCCTTGAAGACGGCGGCGATGTAGGGAAGGTGGGTAGTGGATTCGCGGTAGGAGATGGGGTCGGAGAGCGCGCCGGCGGCGTCGGCGGCGTCGATCTCCTGCATTACGCGGGCTAGGACGGGGGGGTTGCGGGCGAGGGAGGCGAATATGGTGCGCAGGGCGATGGCCGTGGTGTCAGAGCCGGCGAAGACGTTGGTGGAGGTGTGGACCATGATGTCGCGGGTGGAGAGCTTGGTCGGGTTAGCGTTGTGGACGGCCAGCCATCGCGAAAGCATGTCTTTGCCAGTCTTGGCCTTGTCCTGGCCCTCGACTTCGCCGTCTCGCTCCAGCGCGACGCGCGCGTTGATGCATTTGAGGGTGAACTGCACGATCGAATTCCAGGACTCCATGCTGGGGATGAGCAGGGGGAATATGGGGTTCCCCAGCAAGAAGTGGTGGGCGTCGGGCACTTGGCCGCAGACGCTGGCGTAGACTAGGATGTTGGAGATGGTGCTCATCATGTCGTCAACGTCGGTGCCGCGCTCGAGGAAGCCGAGCTTGGTGGCGAAGGTCATCTCCCCGACCACGTCAAAGGCGTAGAATTGCAGCCACTCGCTCAGGTCGATCGGCTCATGTGCGTCCGCGGATGCGCGCAGCTTGCGCATGAAGATTTCCGTGCACGAGTCGATGACATGTTCCATCTCCAGCATATGGGACAGGCTGTAGGCGTTGGCCACCAATCGCTTTTGCTCGCGGTGGGCTTGCGTGTTTCGCTCGGAGAAGAGGTTCATCTGCGGTTTTTTGTTCCATGAGATACTCTGGATTGGATAGAATGCTGTCTGTCATTCGATTAGTCTTTCCGTACGAAACTCGACACGATAGTTTATCGACACCTACCTTGGTAAAGCCCGTGCTCAGACCGTAGATGGTCGGGATGGCCGCCGGGTCGCTGAAGGAGACATGCTTCGGACCAATGCGCACCATCAGACCATGTTTCTTGTGGAGATGTATCTCCGTGAGATGGTGGTTACCCTTCCACACACTGTACGCCTTCCAGAGGCGCGTGTATTTGGCCAGTGTGGGACCAGGGATGTCGCTCAATCCGGGCCGGAGCCGGTTGTAGACCAGTCGCAGGAGATAGAGACCGGCGAAGACCAGTGCCAGGCTAGCAGGATTCACCCTGGTATCCACGGCAGAGTCGATCCACGCCATTTCTCGCAGACACAAATGATACTATCAATATGTTCTCGTTTGTTCATACAATAGACATGCAAGTTTGTCTTCCACACCGGGACCACGCTCATTATTTAATAGACACGATCAGGCTATCAAGCTAGAGCACACCACACCTGCTATGCAGGCTGGCGGGCCGCCCCGCTCCTTCACCAGACCAGACAGTTCCATGACCTCGATCTACCACCAATAGAAACCTTCATATTGCAGAAAATGCCGATGATAATCGCGGGAACAACCAGGGTTCCACTCTCGAACCGTATTTATGACACATAACCCTTTCACGTTGACAACAGAGGAAACTCCTGTCACATTGGGCACCTGTCCGTCAGGCGAACAAATCATGTTGAGGCCCATGCCGATCATGACAAGTCGGAGAGGACCGCTTAACGTTAGCCTGCGCTATTACACGGGCTTGGCTGCATCTTGCACCACCGTCTTCCATCTCATAGGGCCAGGCTGTCACAACCCTGGGCGGTTGGAGCGGACTGGACCACTTAGAGCCACATTCAGTTCCTCCGAGGGGGTGTCAAAATTCGAGTTAAGAGCGACCTCGTAGTGCTATCTCCTCATTGGGACCAGGGTCTAGTCTACAGGAGCCTTATCCCGGCTGCCTATGACGGCTTAAATCAAGGCAAGGCTGTGATGACCGGACGACTACGGCTGGTTAGAGATTATAGCTTAGGAATAAGGCTTCCGTGGTCGCGCATACACTTCTACCGCAGAAGCGAGATAGGATTCATGCATAATATGGTAGGTCACGGCTCGAGATGGTCAGGCATCGTGTCCGATAAGGTATTGATGGTCGCGTCGGATTAGAAAGGAGAGATAAGAGATAAAGTTCATGCCCTGTGCCCTGTGCCCTATGACCTAAAACAGTGTTTGCAGTGTTTGGCGGAAATCTCCCCGCAGCGGGTCTTGCAAGAGCGCCTCGATCCATCAGCCTCGGCCTGACAGTTTACTGACCATTGTTGTTCTCATCGTTCGCAGGAGTAGTCGGGTATTTCAACATCTCCTGTAATCACGTCGCTTGGGAATACAGCCAACATGTCGATGAGCCAGATCCCGGGCCACAATATCTACATTGGCGGGTGAGTCGCCCCGCGTCCCCAATCCGGCAAGGTCTTTCCTCACGATGGTGTAGATTCTCAAATACATGGGGATCAGGGGTCGCAGGTCACCGAGACAACAGGCAGGATCCAGCTGACAGGCCCCTTTAGCATCTTCACGCTCCGGAACAAGGCCGCGCTGAGTAGAGCCAACATCACACATATCGTCTCGGTGGTCAAACTACGACCGGATGAGTCGGTCTTTGAGGACTTCCAGCAGCATCGCATTGACGTCGATGATGTAGACGATGAGAATCTCTTGGAGCATTTCCCTGCGGCGATTCAATTTATCCAGTCGGGGTTGGATGCCGGGGGGAGTGTACTCGTCCACTGGTTAGTCCCCGCATGCTTTCTGCCCACGGTTTCATATACGGCGTCCCGACGACGTGATCACGCATACTATCGATTAGTAGCATTCATTTGGACAGTCATATGCTGATTTGTCGGCCATACCAGTGCCATGGGCAAGTCGCGGTCCGCTACAATCGCCATCGCCTATCTGCTCAATCGCCAACCCAATATCCTATCACCAGAATCGGCCCTCGACCTGATCCGGCAGAGTCGGCCGCTCTGTGAGCCCAACGACGGCTTCATGCGCCAGCTGTCTCTCTACCACCAGATGGGCTGTCCGGATGACGTCGTCAACCACCCCACCTACATCCGCTGGTTGTCCAACCGCGAGGTGGAAGAAAGCGTCGCATGTGGTCGTGCACCTGAAATGAAGTCCGTTCTCTTCGAAGACGAACGGACGAGCGAACAACAAGCATCAGCGGATCGCGCAACGGAAATTAAATGCCGCAAGTGCCGGTCAGCCACCCTCCCCTTTGTCCCGCTTTGGATTCGTCTGTTGGAAACCAGTAGGTGATACTGACTGCATGCAGGCGAACACTAGCCACGGGCTCCTTCATCGCGCCCCACGGTCCACAGGGACGCGCCGATGTCAAGACGGATTGCGCCCATATCTTCCTCCATCCGTTGACGTGGATGCGCCCATGTCTGTTCCCCAACGAGGTCGAGGATGAGAACGCCTCGGGGCCGCCGTCGGCTGATGCCCCCTTATCGGGCCGCCTGACCTGTCCGAACACCACCTGTGGCCAGAACATCGGCAAGTTCGCGTGGCAGGGGATGCAGTGCAGTTGCGGGGACTGGGTGGTTCCCGCCATCGCGGTGGTCAAGGCCCGGGTCGATGTGTCCCAGCGCGTCACCACCGCCAGAGGGCCCGCGGCGCTGGGAATCCGCATGCCTCCTGTGATGCGACCCAGTGGGCCAATGGAATCGGGGTCGGGGCGAGGCAACTTGTGAGGTGGTTCATAGTCGTCCATTTCTCTGCATACAGGCATAAGGCACTTCTAGGGATGTACATACAATCGAGATACCCGGTACTCATACAGGCTCCTTTCTATAGAACTAGACGTGATGACTACCAGATCTATACCTACATAGATATAAAGGTGCTATCTATCTGTACTTAAGAAGACCTAGGCAATCCCAATGCGGAAGGCCAACGCTCCGGCCGCTCGGACCAATCGGGGGATCGACATCACGTGGCTGGGAGCTTCTCCGCATTCCGGGACATGAATGGGATGATCCATCCATGATGCTCCATCCATCTTCTCTCGATCAGACCACTGTCTACTCTCCTATCGACAGAATCACACCTCTCACTCCGTATTAGTTGTCGAATATCTCCTATCATGATGCATATCCGCCCGCGGCCTGGGTTCTTCTCTGCCCTCCGCGCCCCCCTCTCCACTCGGCGCTTTGCGACCGAGGCGCGGTTAACGTCGGACCATGTCCGGATCGTTGAAGTCGGCCCCCGCGATGGACTCCAGAACGAAAAGAAATCTATCTCGTTAGAGACGAAGCTCGAGTTGATCAAAAAGCTCGCTGGTACGGGCGTCACGACCATCGAGGCGGGCTCTTTCGTGCCGGCCAAATGGGTGCCTCAGGTATATACTCACGGGCGGAGATCTCCGTCTTTTGTCTTTGGCAACGAGGGATTCGCTAATCTAGGGCGTAATGGGGACAGATGGCCAGTACGAATGAAATCTGCGAGCATCTCCTGCGGACGCCACCGCCATCCGCGACCGCCATCGCCTACAATTACCTAGTGCCGAACGTGAAGGGACTGGAGGGACTGGTCCGGATCATGGACGACACCGGGGTCTCCGCTGCGGGGGGCTCGTCGGCAGACAAGGCCTCCACGACGACGGAGATCTCCGTCTTCACCGCCGCGACGGAGGCCTTCTCCAAGGCGAACACGAACTGCACGATCGCCGAGTCGCTGGAGCGCATCCGGCCGATCGTAACGCAGGCCCTGAGTCACAACATCCGGGTGCGCGGCTACGTCTCGGTGGCGCTGGGATGCCCCTACGAGGGGCCGAACGTGCCTACCTCCACCGTGACGGATATCACGGCGTCGCTGCTGGAGATGGGCGCCGACGAGGTCTCCATCGGCGACACGACGGGCATGGGGACGGCCCCGCGCACGATGGAGCTTCTCAACGCGCTGCGGGCGGCTGGGATCGCCAACAATGACCTAGCTCTACACTTCCACGACACGTACGGTCAGGCCCTGGTCAACACCATTGTCGGGCTGGAACACGGCATCCGCATCTTCGACAGCAGCATCGGCGGCCTGGGCGGTTGCCCGTACTCCAAGGGGGCGACCGGGAACGTAGCGACCGAGGATCTGATCCACACGCTGCATTCGCTGGGGATGCACACGGGGGTCAACCTCGAGGCGATGTCGAAGATTGGGGACTGGATCAGTGGGGAGCTGGGGCGGGCGAATGCCAGTCGGGCGGGGAAGGCGATTCTGGCGAAACTGCAGGATTAGGGTCTAGACTGTTGGGTTCGGGGGGAGTATTGTTACTTAAACATGACCATCTGTATATGGAAGGCTAGGCAATGGAGACCCATCGGTTACATCTTGAACTGGTTGAAGCTTATCGTCATTTCGGTCTCGACACCCCGAGAGCTCCCCGCTGGATGGGCTGTCATTGGTGGACGGTGCCGACGGCATAGAATGTTAAATGGCGATTGGTTGCAGATCCCGGGGATTCTGTCCTGGTACCGTATGGTATTATTGAATCACGTAGATACTGGGGAGTATCTTGAGATATTTACATCAAGAAGGTCGAGATCGTGTAGATTTGCTGCATATTGAAGGGGTTAGGAGAATAATCCTAAGGGTGTTGATAGAAGAATACCACAGTGCCTCAGGCTGCAGGGCAGTGATGACGTCGACTCCCGTGACCGCAGTCTGTATAGAATCGAACTGGCCGAACAACTTCATCTCCACAACTCAACTCCATCCGTCATCCTCTTACATGACAACATTGTAATCTTCGATGGGTCCCGCTTGGAGTCTCAATTGAGAAAGCCCCCGTCCGCTCTTATAAATACCGATCTTCACCTCTCTCCCCTTCCAAGCTCTTCTCTTCCCCTCACCGACCATCTCCCCTCTCCCCCGCATTTCGTCGGGACTTCCAGGAAAGAAGTAACTTCCGAAGGTTGGTTGAGCTCCCTCGGTCCCTCCTCAATGTCAATTAACCCCGCTAACCCGTCGGTATATAAAGCCATGCAGAGAATCCTCGGTCCCGTCTCGCGCCAGTTGCTGCGATCCACCCCCCGCTATCCCTTTGCTATTCCCGGCCCCATTGCCGCTAAACGACTATACACAATGAGCCATACCGTGCCTCCGGTGAGTACTTGACACTGTAATTGATGGTACACTCTTCGCTGACGGATGACCTCGGCAGTTAAAAGACCCGTCTCTCTTCATTGAGAAGGCCTACGTCAATGGCGAATGGATCGGAGCCCAGTCGGGCGAAACCTTTGAGGTCCACGGTGCGATTGCCCCCCAACACCCGACCGCGCAATAACCGCGCAAATATGCTAACACGTCCATCATGATGAATAGATCCCGCCAACGGCAAGCTGATCGGAACCTGCCCCGAATTCAACGCCGCCGACACCGACAAAGCCATCCAAGCGGCCACCGAGGCTTTCCCCAAGTTCCGCACCACCCTCGCACGCGAGCGCGCCCGCATGCTCCGCCGCTGGTACCAGCTCATGATCGACAACGCGGACGACCTGGCCACGCTGATCACCTGGGAGAACGGCAAGCCCCTCGCAGACGCCAAGGGCGAGGTCAACTACGCCGCGGGCTTCTTCGAGTGGTTCAGCGAGGAGGCGCCCCGCGTCTACGGCGACACCATCCCGTCCTCGGTGGCGGGCAACCGCGTCATGACGCTCAAGCAGCCCGTCGGCGTCTGCGGCCTGATCACCCCCTGGAACTTCCCCGCGGCGATGATCACCCGCAAGGTCGCCCCGGCCCTGGCGGCCGGCTGCACCGTCGTGTGCAAGACCCCCGGCGAGACGCCCTTCACAGCCAACGCGCTCGCCGAGCTCGCTCACCGCGCCGGCATCCCCAAGGGCGTCGTCAACGTCGTCCCAGCCCTCAAGAACACCCCCGAAGTCGGCGAAGCCATCACGACACACCCCGAAGTGCGCAAAGTCTCCTTCACGGGCTCCACCAACGTCGGCAAAATCCTCATGAAACAATCCGCGTCGACCCTCAAAAAGGTATCCTGGGAACTCGGCGGCAACGCGCCCTTCATCGTCTTCGACGACGTCGAAGACCTCGACGCAGCCGTCTCGGGCGCCATCGCCTCCAAATTCCGCAGCTCAGGCCAGACCTGCGTGTGCGCGAACCGGATCTACATCCAGCAGGGCGTCTACGACGAGTTCTGCCGGCGCTTCGTCGCCAAGATGCAGGACTTCAAGCTCGGCGCAGGCTTCGGCGAAGGCATCACCCACGGACCCGTCATCCACGGCCGCGCCGTCGACAAAGTCGACCAGCACGTGCAAGACGCCGTCTCCAAGGGCGCACAGCTCGCAGCCGGTGGCTCGCGCCGCCCGGAGCTCGGCTCCAACTTCTACGACCTGACTGCGCTTACGCACATGAACAAGGATATGCTGCTCGCGTCGGAGGAGACGTTCGGTCCGGTGGCGGGTCTGTTCCCGTTCTCGACGGAGAAGGAGGTCGTCGAGCTGGCGAACCGCGCGGAGGTCGGTCTGGCGGGGTACTTCTTCAGCGGGAACGTGCGGCGCGTTTTCCGCGTCGCTGAGGCGCTGGAGGTGGGCATGGTTGGTGTTAATACGGGCTTGATCAGCGATGTTGCGTCGCCGTTTGGAGGCGTCAAGCAAAGTGGGTTTGGTCGGGAGGGCAGCAAGTATGGGATTGAGGAGTTTTTGACGATTAAGAGTGTTACGTTTGGGGGGATGGGCGAGCCACTTCAGGGGTGATTTAGCTTTTTATATTTCTAATGATATGTTACGTATATATATATATATGTGGTTTTGTTTACCTATTACTTGTATGGGATGGATTATCGATGACGATAGATGTTTCTATTCAACTCTGTCTTGGGATGCATCATGACAGACATATAGATAGATATTTTCGTGGTATAGATAGACAGATAGACAGATAGGCGCATAATATATGAACGAGTAGCGAGTATATGAATAGGACAAGTGATAAGTAAAGCATAACCAGCGTCATCACCAGGGCAAGGGGAATCGATAAAAAACAACAACCACAACATATCATAGGTCTGAATCCCAATCCCTTCATAAGCAATATAACAGCAAATAACATCATGCGGAATCTTCATTCAGGACATACAGATAGTCGATCTCGGGAATCGATCAAGAAAAAAAACATAAACAAGGATGAGTGCAAGGGGAATGTGGTATGAAATGTCATATATGATGTATTGTGAGTATATGGTATGTGATGTGATGTGGGAAACAAGATTAAAAATGTTCTTCAACCTGGTCCGCCCAGGAACCTCCCACCGGAGACAGTGGGGACAGGGGGTCTAGTTTCGTGGTTGAAGTCGTCTCTTTCTCCGGGGCTGGTCCGGGGCTGGTGCTGGGCTTCTTCGGCTCCGCGGGGAGGGCCGGGAAGTCAGCCTGGTTGTCCAGGGCCGGGGCGGCGGGTTTCTGTTGTTGGTTCTGAGGGGGTGTGGCTCCGTCATGTCCGCGGTGGCCACCACGTCCGCGACCTCCTCGTCGGCCACCGCGGCCACGGCCACGGGGACTTTGGTGGCGATTGTGTTGGCTGTGACTCTCAGACGGCTCGTCGGACGGCGTCTCCTCGGGCGCCGTCGCCCAGCGCGAGTCTTCCAGGCCTCGTCGCACCTGTCCCGTAACGCCGCCGTGCATGCCGCGGAAGTTACCCCTCCCGCGGGAGCCATTGTAGTCTTCTTCCTGCTTCTGCGAGTCCCATTCCCGGCCGGTGACCGCGTTGAGTTTCCGCTGGCGGTTGCGCTCTCTTTCCGTGTCCATCACGCGCCGGTGGGCGCGCTCCTGGCGACGCTTCGCGTCGGCGACTTTCTCCCGTTCCAGGAAGGAGGCTTGGTCGGCTTCTGCACGGGCGTGCGCGGCGGCGACTTTGGCGGCGTGTTCTTTGGCGGCGGCGATCTTCTTGGACAGTTCTTCTTCTGTGAGTTTGGGCTGTGGACGTTAGTTGTGGTCCACTCCGGCGATAGTAAGGGACAGTGATGGTACCTTTCTAACTCCACCGGTTGCACTCCGGTCCCCTCTGACGGCAGGCACGCGTGGTCCATCCGCGTCCTTCGTATCGACAGAGGCGCCATCTTCCTTGTTCGCATCCTCGGCGGTGGACTCCGCCGGGGCATCATGTTTCGACTCCTGGTCACCGTTCTTCTCCTGCTCGGGCATGCTACCGTTCTCCGTCGACTTCGCCTGCGAGCCGGCATCGCCGCCGCGCTTCCGCGACGCCTGTCTGGCGCGTCCTCTGCCTCGACCCCGACCGCGCCGTTCGCCCCCACGCGATCGCGGGGTATCCGCGCGTGGGGCTGGCGGAGGCGCGTCCCGTTCCAGCGCCGCGATGTTCTCTTCGGTGACGGGAGCGGGTGTCGGGTCTACCGACGGTACTTGTTCCTCGGCGGAGACGGGGATGATCTCATCGTCGAACAGGTCGTCGGCGCCACGGGTCTGCGCGAACTCGTCGATCTCCGGGTCGGCCATGGTGGTGGTTGGGGAGAAGGGTCGAAGAGCTTCGGTGGTTCGTTCTCGTAGAGAACCAGATAAAAGCGATGCTATGTGCGCGCCAGGCGACAGGATCTGCTAGAAAGAACGAGACTGGTGGTTTCGGGGATTCTATAGCATGGACGATCGGTGATCAGCGCTGGAGAGGATTCGGTCAGCTTATCTGCATTTCGTATTCACGGGCGCCTGCATTCCACTGTCCTAATCATGCGACGCCTCTCAGTCGCCATGCACACCGTATCCTGACGAATCCAATCTTACGCCCTTGACTGCGACTCGGACGACATTGCGACAGCCCGCCATCCAAGGCGGTATCGGCCAATAGATTGATGTCACGAAGGGAAAACGCAGAAACAACGCAGCAAGGAACACAACTAAAGGGTAGCACGTACACTGTGAATCAAAAGATCAATACCTAGACTGCTTCCAGGGAGATGCGGGTAGAGGAAACTGAGCTGAGGCTGAAGCAACGACGATGACTCTGGCCCCTTCGGCCCTTCTCGCGCCTGTCATCAAGGCGGTCTTCCCCACCTCGTGTTCTGCCGTGCACCACCGCTCATTTCTGCCCCCACTGTTCATGCCTCAGTCCACCATCGTGATTTCATGATCTCGTGACCTCGTCCCTACAAACATGCACTACGAGGACTGTTTTCCCATTCACAGATCAAGTACTATGGTCATGATTCTTGGCTGTCTTGCTGGCTCAATAAAATAAGAACAGGCTCTTGTTTGAAGCTTTCTAGAAATATATATCCTCAGACAGAAACTGGTTGTTAACAAGTACTTGTCTCGGCTCCAAAATATATAATTATACTTTTGCGCTTCATGCGTCAAGTTATATCCAGTGCAACGCCATTCTTTGATATCTCAATTCACTGGTTTGGCATCGCTAATTTTGACATAATCATGGTAATAGCTGCGATAGCAACAGTAGAGTTCAAAAAATCATATCAACATTGGTCATCACTCGAGCGATCTGGATAATGATAATCCGATAGGCCCTCGTATCGAATACCATGTCAATCCATTTGAAATTGTACGAGTGGTAAGCCAAGGCTTGCGGACACTTGGCTGCGCTTGCTGCTCGCGTAAAAGTCATGGTATCAGTATCAGGTTTCCTCTAACTACCACACAACAGGCTCCTCAGCAGTAGGAAAGACAGAAGTAGGTATACATACCTTTATGGGACAACGGTGGCTTGATTATGGAGTTCCATAGGAAATTATATATATATGCTCGATTATTATGCCTCATCGATAACAACTGTAGTCCCTGGAGCCAGATGGTCCAGATTTGAATCAAATCTGCCTGTGGAAAGTTTGTGCATCTTTCTCCCGGCGTGAAAGCAACAATCGTCCCCTGGAGGATATTTGTCAAGCTTGTGCCATGTTGGATATACCCGTATTTTTGTATTTCCTTTCAGTCATTGTACATCATTGATTTCAAGGGACGCAGCAGCCATGGATAGCAACAAGTTCGGTAGGCATGAGATCTCTTGAATATAACAAAACACTGACAAAGATAGTTAGATCACTGTAGTAATTGATGTTTTCTTCTCTATACAAAAAGAAATGTGAGATGTATGTAGAGTCAAGAAGAAACCTGCAAGATCTGGAAATTTGCATGCTCAGGCAATATATACTTGATTGCATCCACTGATTCCACAGCCACTATCATCTTCACTGGAATTCTACCACGCCAAGAACCCAGTCTAAGGACTGAGTTGAATTTATAGCCAGTCTAGTATATATTCACATCCACTACATATAGATCACACCTCGCGGAGATTGCATCAACAGAACTTTTTACAGTTAGTACCAAGCCCCAAACAGTCTCTCTACAAGGCTCGATATATTACCTGATAGAGCTTGACACATGTACTTGATATATATGAAGATCTACTACTACAATGCACGCTGGATGTGTAACACGCTACCAGTCTCAAAGACCAACTCTGATATACCATGGTCAATAACCCAGATACCCTATATATACCAGGTAATCACCCGCGCACTGTGAGGCAGCCTTACAGTTCTAACGTGTCCTACACATGGTCCAACGCCTGGCCATGACAAGTCTGATCAAGAGATTTCCAGACAGTTTCAACTAGGCAGTGTCTATGCAGAGGGGATAGTATCATCAATTCTCAGCAGGCTTACACGCCGAAAACCGTATCAGCCACTCTCTCGAGCATCACGTTGCCTTCGACTGACATATATATCTGATCACCTCCACCTTCGTCATGCCCAGTATGCAACAGCTGATGGAGGCTGTCCGCAGATTAAGTCGCACAGTCTCACGTGCAATCATGTCGGTGATTTCTTGCGCCGGTGGAATACATGATACTAGTTGCAAACAAATTCGAATTGCGTGTTTGGGATTCTAAAGAAGGGAATCTCATGCTTATCATCTTCCGTCCTTCGATGACGGGCCAACCGCAGCCCTAAAGAAGGAACATTCCAACCCACCCCTTGCATGGTTCGACCGGATTGCCACTGCAGACCTATTTCTTCACTCTCATTTGAAACAAATATTGGTCTTGTCTCTGCTATATTCTCCGATTTGATTTTCACTGGTGCAGTGACTCTATCCGGTCCACCCAAGGACAGGTGCATATTGGATAGTAATACTATCCAGCCCGTCTGATGATGGGATATGAAAAAGAAACTACGACGCTGTCACAACCAGAACGAGAGTCTCTTACAGTACCAGCGACACCACCGCAGCACAAGCCTGAGGTGACGTCGGGAGACGACGGATCGGAGCCGCTCTCGGCGACCGAATCGGATTCCAAAGAGCACCATGAGTATCCCTCTCTCTGGCAGGGGATAATCGTCATGATCGGACTCTGTTCGTCCTTACTCTGCGTCTCGTTGGTATGACTCCTTTCATATGACTGAAATGCCTTTTCAGTTATACATCTGCTGACAATCATCTCCGTGCTTTCTAGGATCAAACCATCCTCGCCACGGCGATCCCCCGAATTACAGATGAGTTTCACTCCCTAGCGGATGTGGGGTGGTATGGGAGCTCGTATCTATTCGCGACGACTGCCATGCAGATGGTGTGGGGCAAGCTGTATACATTCTATCCGGCAAAGTGGATGTTCCTGGTAGGGATTGCAATCTTCGAGGCGGGATCCTTGGTTTGTGCGCTATCACGAACATCTGCGATCCTCATTGTGGGGCGAAGTGTCTCAGGAATGGGAGCCGGGAGTCTCAGCGCCGGGGCCATTGTCATCGTGACGAACACAATCCCTTTGCGAAAACGGCCGATCTACCTTGGTTTTATCGGGTGCGTGCACACGGTGACAAGCGTTGCAGGACCATTGTGAGTATACTTCTACGGATAGTGATAAACAGAACTGATGAGACGTAGATTAGGTGGGGTACTAACAGATCACGCCTCATGGCGCTGGTGTTTCTATATCAACCTCCCCTGTGGCGCCGTCAGCTTCGTAGCCATCCTTTTCCTCCTAAAATCCAACGCCGCCCCGGCGAGCCACCTGACTGCTAAGGAAAAAGTCCTGCACATGGATCTGATCGGCTTATTCTTTTTCATCCCCGGCGTCATCTCCTTCCTGTTAGCTCTCGAGTGGGGCGGGTCGCAGTATGACTGGAACAACAAACGGATCATCGTCCTTTTCGTCGTCTCCAGCCTGCTCCTCCTTATCTTCACAGGCGTGCAGGTGCGGCAGAAGGACCGCGCCACGCTACCCCCTCGCATTATCACCGAGCGCAACATGCTAGGGGTGCTGTGCTACACTATATGCAACAGCGGGGCGTTGTTCGTCTTCACCTACTATGTACGCCCCCTCCTTACCCTCTACAGTTCAGACCCTAACCAGATCTCCGACAGCTCCCAGTCTGGTTCCAAGCCATCAAAGGCCTGTCCGCCACCAAATCCGGCCTAATGAGTCTACCCACCGAGCTAGGCGTCGTCGCAGCCTCACTAGCAGGAGGCGTTCTAGTCACGATACTAGGATACTACACGCCCTTTCTAATAACCTCCTCCGCCATCTCCAGCATCGGCGCCGGACTCCTCAGCACACTCGTCCCGACCTCAGGCCTAGGCAAATCCCTCGGCTACCAAGTCGTCATGAGCGTGGGAATCGGCCTGGGGTTCCAGAACGCGATGCTTGTGCCGCAGGTGGCGCTCGCGCCCGAAGACACCATCATGGCCATCGCGACACTGTCCTTCGCGCACTCCTTTGCCAGCTCTATTTCGCTGACTATCGGCCAGACTGTCTTCCACAGTGGTCTGGTGCGCCATCTGCGCGAGATGGCCCCGTCTGTTGACGCGGGGCTTGTGCGCGAGGGCGCGACGCAGTTGAGGGAGCGTGTTTCGGGCGATATGCTGGAGCCTGTGCTAAGGGCTTATAGTTTGGCTGTTACGCAGACGTTTTATGTTGGGCTGGCGATGTGTCTTTTGTCGCTGTTGGGGTCTGCTTCGTTGCAGTGGTTGCCAGTGCGGGAGCGGATGGATGGGGAGAAGGCGGGGGAGGATGGGGATGAGAGTGGTGGGCGGAGTGTACCGGGTCATTATCGTGATAGTTGATCCAAGATTGGTTGTGGGGGGTATCATGGATTGCATTGGTTTGTACACTGGTGTTTGATTTGGTTTGGCACAAGATTGGCATATATATGGGCTGAGCATTTAGAACAATCCGTACGCTGGATTCATTATATTGATGTACACCATCAAAGAATGCATAGTACTTAGTATCTTAGGGAAGGCTCAAGTTGTCTCCACTTCAACCTACAGATACCGTCCACCAGTCTAGTCCCATGCATATATATCAATGATGTACACTAGACAAGACAGCCTGTCAAGATAAACATTCAAGCAACGCTAGTGAAAAACGACAGGACCAGATAGAGGCGGTGAATTAGCCGATTTGTCGAGTGACCGCTGTCTGTCTGTCCATATGTCTATCACTGGATAAGACCCCAGGGCTAGCCGAGATTGACACTGAATCAGATATGTCACACGTCAAGAGACGTAATGTTCTGCATTTCATTGGCAATATACAGCGAACCATCTGTTTGACACCGCATGGTCAGAGTGACACCTACAGCATATAGCTGGGGATATTGCTGATCGACGGTGTGAAATTGATGTTGACATACACCTTTGCTCGAGGTGATTGTGGTTGATATTCGAAGCAAAAGGATCATCCACTAACATTATGAAATGTAAGGGCACCCGTGAACAGGAAAAGCATTGTCATGAGCTGTATATCCATTCCTATCAGTGAGCTAGTAAAAAAACATATTGCGATATGCCGCAAGAATTAAGATACGCACACCAAATGTCAGAACCCTATTCTGTCGTCTGCAGCCCAGCAAGAAGGCCGCATATATTGACCCATGACCACAAAGGCGCACGTCTACAGCCAACAATAACCTCAAAAAATGCAGACCGCCACTGCACAGAGTCATTTGACAGAACAACAGAGCTGCAATCCCAAAGTGCATACCCTTGTTGATATCCCTGCGGTATCCCATCCAGACCGCAACTTACCAAACCAGAAGACCTGCTAGAGCGATCATGTTGGCGAGTCGCCGCGATATGAACCAGCCTATCTCGGGGCGAATGGATCGCAACCCAGCAGGAAGAAGAAAGTCGGCTGATCCAAAGACAACGTGCATTGAGTTCTTCTTCCTGCAGGTAGTTGATGAGATTATTGGGTGAATGCATATATCATATATATATCCATCGGTAAACAAACTCTATACCAGGTTGCCCAAGATGATAGTCCTCAAAGAGATATAAAAAGGCTGTCTTGCTCTCTGGAATTCAATCTCTATCATCCACACCAGCAACTCTTCAATCCTCATCTCCAGTCCTTCATTCCGGTCCTCCGCTCAAGCCAATTAACAAATCTACCCCTATCTACCAACCAACCACCACCAGTAAGTCCCCCACACAGGAACATACCCATCACAGTCAGCTAACACCCCCAGAAATGCAATTCAAGATCTCCATCGCCGTCTTCCTGACCACCCTCCTCGCCAGCCACGTCGCCGCTGCGCCCACCGCCTCACCCGCCGGCGCTGGCGCGTGCCATCCCGGCAAGATCTGGGCGCACCCCCACGACTGCCACAAGTACCTCCAGTGCGGGCCGGACGGGAGGAAGATCGAGTCGGCTTGTGGGCCTGGCACGGGGTTTAACTCCAAGACCAATTCCTGTCAAACCCAGGCGGATGTTTGTCACTAAGGGTATTGGCTGTTCTTTGCTATTCAGTGGTTTTGGGGATATGGTTTGATTGATGATTGATTGATTAACGAGACGAGTACGGAGGACATGGTGATGATAATGTATCTACTGTACGGCGGTGGAAAGTCTAGCGAAGGGTTGGCATCTAGCAGGTAATGGGCAATATCTTGGATGTGTATGTATGCGGGTTTGATTAGTTTTTTGTCGCAGCTGCTATCTTTGTGGTCGTTTGTTAATAATTGATGTCTTGTTTTGAGTGATGATATGGTTACATGCTCGGTAGTAGTATATGTCGCACTGGATATAAGCTTATACATGGAGCAAAAAGTGCCGTAATATATATTGTATCGCGTGGCAATTGCCGTACTGTACGGTGTAACAGTTTTGATCAAATGATCAAATATATTGAAGCCCTTGATGGTTCTTATGACTACGAAGAGATTGCGAATAGATACACTATTGGGTCTGTAAGTACCCCGCCTAATCTACGCGATTATTCGACAAACAACGTCCGAGGAAACACTGCAAGCCGGCTGATATGTTGTGAGACTGCATGTCTCACTATTCGACTATCAAAATAGTATATTATGTGAATCCATGAGAATAATAAAGTCGACACTACTGTCTAGATGAGAGAAGAAGCGGTAGGGGATACAATTGGACGAAATGTGTATACCGATAGACACTCTGAGCCCTGCATTGAGTCAAGCACAGGCAAAGTTCTTGCATACGTCTGGTTATGTCTTCGATCGACTGACAGGTGGGTCCAAAGTCAAATCTTATGCTGAAAGTTGTTTGGCTTCAGGGAATGCCAGGTACGGAGTACGGATACTCAGGTACGAGATATTTCTTTTTCGCCTTTTTTTGTTTGATGCTATTCTTTCTTTTCTTCTTCCTTCTTTCTGTCTCTATCTTCACTTTATAAGGTGTCATGGTTAAAAATAGGGCATGCATGTCTCATGTGATCCGAGTCATTGACCAGGATGTCTCAGGCCGCTTCACACCTCTGACACATTCTTTTATTTGGCTTTATTGACAGCCCCAGGCTTGAGTTCCTTTCACTTGTTCGACCAATGTAGAGCTTCCAGGATGCTTACCATGGCTGGGGGTCTATCAGCTGGTCCTACAGACGGTCTGAGGGTAAAAAGAGGCCAATAATGCGCAAAAACAACTTTTAGTCGCGTGTGGTGGTAAGCATCAAGCCAACAGTATAATAAGATAGAATAAAATAGAAATTATCGTCCAATAAATTTTTAGACGAACATGCGTTACCCGGCAGACGTGGTATTTGGACTGGCATTTAGCGCTACTCCCTAAAAGACCAAGGTATGTTCCAAATAGACAGGTCTCTCCATCCAAATTCTACCAGTCCATATTAATATTAATCAGGTCTTAATTTAGCGATGGATGATCTCCGATTATATTAATATCGAAAGTCGCTGGGACTTGACGACTACCGACACTAGAGACGCCACGACGGAGAGACCAAGAGATGGTGGAGGACAGGTGGAATGCGCCGTCCCTGTTGTTCCTGGTATGGGGACCAGCCACGGCTTGTTGGCTGGGCGGGAGGATTGTTGCATCCCAGCGCTCGTCGGTGGATTTGCGCCAGTGAGAGAGGATGGTCGGGGCGTTTCAGATGGGTCCAGTTTTTTTCGTACCCTTCTAGAACATGAATTGAGTTCTACTTACTTTACACTGAAAGTGGAAACACCCGTTCAATGGACACTTCTATCGTAAAATTATTGTGGTTGATTTGATATCAATAAACAGGCCTAGGAATCCAGGCCACATTCCATCCCTTAGGTAAGCGGGACAACGCCCCACCGCCTTCCCCTCCAGCCAATCACGGCTGCAGGGTGGCGCCTCGGAAGCTTGAGTTTGTGCGGGTCCCATCCGTTTCATAATTACCTAATTATAGACACACGGCAAAGAGTTGTGAACTTTCAGGCCTTTAGGCTTCCAGACCTTCAAAGGGAATTATGGGAACAATTAATTGTGTCGATTGTGTCCATCCCGTGATTTCAACCTCGGATTGAGTTTGAACTTCAAGATGTCAACTTTGGCTTCATCTGGGGAATCAACTACGGACGATTTCTTGCATCCAGGTATCATCCCCCTTCCCCTCGACGATCGCTGTTTCCCTCTCCTGCTGTGTCACTGATGTGTCCGATGGATATCTCCTCTTTATTTTCCATTTTTTTTATTTCCAGGCTGATGACTGATCAGGATTCATTCAAACAACCAATCCAATCCCGAGATCATCCTTCCCCCCCTGAGACAATGCGAGGGAGGCGGATAAATGCAGTGGTTTGGCTGGGAGATGTGGACCCCACCCGCTGACGACACAGCAATCAAAAGCCATGACGATGGCTCCATCCAGGGCCACTCATTATTTTGGCCTGCGTTGTCCCAAGGGTCGTACAAGTTCACAGGAGTTCTGCCCAAGGGTCAGATTCTGAAAATCCGCCCCCCCCGTTGGCTGTGTGGATGAAAACTTTCTAACGCTCCTCTTCCTTCCTTCATGCCTCTTCAACACAACTAGTCCTTTCTTTATTGTGCTTCCCATTTTCGACTTGTTCGGCTTCTGCGCTACTAATCAATGGATGCCACATCGATCGCGCTCCCACACCCTCGCTATTAATAGTTGGCTTTTTTAGTGCCGGTCTTTGGAGTCATCCTTGGTCCCACCCAGGCGGTGCCTATCGTTGATCTCGCTCGCTCTCCCTCTCTCTCTTCTTTTCTCCAGTTGTTCTTCAACTCGACCGCCCTTTTCTCGACGCCCCTTCCCGGACGTTCTTTGCTGGCCTGGTGGATTCCTTTATAACCTCAATCCTGTTTGTCTAGCAAATTATACTTCCGACGCGGAATCCTGGAGCCTTTTCATCGCAGCGCTTCTCATCGGATTCTCCGACATCGCCCGCGCCGCGGATCGGATTGATCAGATAGCTGTACAAAATGCCGGGCACACCGTCGCCCTTCTCAGGGCCCCCATCCCAGCAGAGCCGCAGCAGCGTCTACTCGCGCACAGGTCCATCACGCACGGTAGGCATGACCCGCAGGGGTGCCCAAACAACCCAAGACATTCCTTTTTTTTTTTTTTTTTCCTTACTAACTAGATTGGCTTTCCTAGCAAACACCTGGTTATTCGGACCGGGATGAGCAGGAAACCTCTTTGTTAGGGCAGCGCAACCCCCCCAGCCCGTACGGCGCACCATATGAAGACATGGATGCCTCGACCGATTCCACACGCCGATACACCCTGCACGACCCGGGCGTAACGGTCTTCGCCGCGCCTCCCTACCAAGAATCCGAGGTGGCCGACCTGTATGATGCGGAGATGGCCAACAAAGACGCCATTCCCTTGGACACCTGGGGCCCCAGCAGCTCCAGCGGCCGATCCGTCGGACGCTCCGCCGGCGGCCTGCGCCGCTACAACACCAGAAAGATCAACCTCGTGCAGGGCTCCGTCCTGAGCGTCGACTATCCCGTGCCGAGTGCGATCCAGAACGCCATCCAACCGGAATATAGGAACGCGGAGGAAGCGTTCACGGAGGAGTTTACTCATATGCGATGTATGATGCCACCGGAGATGCGCTGCGAATGAGCATGAGCTGATGTGTGCAGATACCGCTGCGACTTGCGATCCCGATGAGTTCACCCTGCGAAACGGTTACAATCTGCGCCCCGCCATCTACAACCGACACACCGAGCTGTTGATCGCCATCACGTACTACAACGAGGACAAGGTGCTGACGGCCCGTACCTTGCACGGCGTGATGCAGAACGTGCGCGACATCGTCACCTTGAAGAAGTCGGAGTTCTGGAACAAGGGAGGCCCGGCGTGGCAGAAAATCGTCGTCTGCCTGATCTTCGACGGTATCGAGCCCTGTGACAAGAACACCCTGGACGTGCTGGCTACTGTCGGTATCTACCAGGATGGCGTCATGAAAAAGGACGTCGACGGTCGCGAAACTGTGGCCCATATTGTAAGTTCCCGACGCGTCGCGGTGCCACCACCGCAGGGAATCCGTGCTGACTTGGGAAACAGTTCGAATACACGACTCAGCTCTCCGTCACAGCCAATCAGCAGCTCATCCGACCCCACGGCAATGACTCGTCCAACTTACCGCCCGTCCAGATGATCTTCTGTCTGAAGCAAAAGAACTCCAAGAAGATCAACTCCCATCGCTGGCTCTTCAACGGCTTCAGTCGGATTCTCAACCCGGAGGTGGCGATTCTGCTGGATGCAGGTACTAAGCCCGGGAAGAAGTCGCTTTTGGCCCTCTGGGAGGCCTTCTACAACGATAAGACGCTAGGTGGAGCGTGTGGTGAAATCCACGCGATGTTAGGCGCCGGCTGGCGCAAGGTGCTCAACCCGCTGGTCGCGTCGCAGAATTTCGAGTACAAGATCTCGAATATTTTGGATAAACCGTTGGAAAGCGCTTTTGGCTACGTCAGTGTGTTGCCGGGCGCCTTCTCGGCGTATCGGTACCGGGCGATCATGGGACGACCGCTGGAGCAGTACTTTCACGGTGATCACACGCTGTCTAAGCGACTGGGCAAGAAGGGTATCGAGGGCATGAACATCTTCAAGAAGAACATGTTCCTAGCAGAGGATCGTATCTTGTGTTTCGAACTGGTCGCCAAGGCCGGATTCCGGTGGCATTTGACGTATGTCAAGGCGTCCAAGGGTGAGACCGACGTGCCGGAGGGAGCGCCCGAATTCATCAGTCAACGACGTCGTTGGTTGAACGGATCTTTTGCGGCCGGTCTGTACTCCATGATGCATTTCGGGCGGATCTACCGCAGCGGCCACGGCATCATTCGTCTGTTTTTCCTGCACGTTCAAATGCTGTACAACTTCGCCCAGTTGATCATGACCTGGTTTGCTCTCTGTAAGTAGTTCGAGAAATTGGGATGGACCGGTGCTAACGATTACAGCTTCTTTCTGGTTGACTAGCTCCGTCATTTTGGATCTGGTGGGCACGCCAAGTCCGGCCAACAAGGAAAAAGGATGGCCGTTTGGTAACTCCGCCACGCCGATCGTCAACACGTTTATCAAGTACGGGTACTTGTTCTGTTTGATGCTGCAGTTTATCCTGGCCCTGGGTAATCGACCCAAAGGGTAAGTGTCCCTTCTGTCGGATTGGTGGACGTAGGGCTGACCGGACTAGCACACGGATTCCGTACACGCTCTCCTTCATCTACTTCTCCATCGTGCAATTTTACGTGCTGATCGACTCGTTCTACTTGGTGGCGAACGCGTTCACCGGTGGGATGTTGGACTTCAATCTGAACGAAGGCGTCTTGGCATTCCTGCAGTCATTCTTCAGCTCTAGCGGAGGTGGTATCGTGCTGATTGCGCTCGTGTCGACGTACGGAATCTACGTGCTTGCCAGTGTGCTGTACGCAGACCCGTGGCACATCATCACCAGCGCGTGGGCATACTTCCTGGGCATGACGACGTCGATCAACATCCTCATGGTGTACGCATTTTGCAACTGGCACGACGTGTCGTGGGGAACCAAGGGATCAGACAAGGCAGAGGCGCTACCGTCAGCGCAGACCAAGAAAGACGACGACAACAAGCACAATTTCATCGAAGAGGTGGACAAGCCGCAGGCCGACATTGACAGCCAATTCGAGTCGACGGTCAAGCGGGCGCTGGCGCCGTTTTCCGAGCCCGAGGAAGAGGGCGGAACCAGTCTGGACGACTCGTACCGGAACTTCCGCACGGTGCTGGTGTTGCTGTGGGTGTTTAGCAATCTGATTCTGTCGTTGCTGATTACCGCGACCGGAATTGACCGGTTGTGTTTGACGGTATGTCTCTTATCCTTTCTTTCGTCTGCGGTCAGTACTAACTAAAATCGATAGAACACATCGACCCCCCGCACAAGTTGGTACTTCCAGATCATCCTGTGGTCGACAGCCGGTCTGTGTATCTTCCGCTTCCTCGGGTCGCTGTGGTTCCTGGCGCGGTCGGGGATCTTCTCGTGCGTCAACCGACGGTAGAGGAGCAGACTGTACATATGACGAAGGGGAGAAGAAGCAAAATAAGGAGGAGACCGGCATGTATCATAGGATACCGGATTGGAATACACATGCACATTCGAGCATATTCGAGAGAATTTCGCGGGAAGTCTGCATTTATAGATGTTTTATCGGCCTGACAAGGGAAACTCAACTCGTTCAGTGCATGAATTTATGAATTGGCATGTTATTTAATACCGGGTAGTGAATTGAATTAGTCTAGAATAAAAACATAAAAGAACCCACCTCATCAGTCATCTGGTACCAACTATCAGATTGGCCACACTATTGAGCAGTATGCAAGCAGACAAGTCTCAACTCAGCATACAATAATCAACATCAGCCAGCCAGCCAGCCAGCCCAGCAACTACAATACCTACTCTTCACAGAGTATCAGAAACACAGCTGGGAATACCCCATACAGCACCTCGGTCCTTACCCCGCTCACCAGTCCGTCCCTTACTTCCAACCACAGGCACAACGCAGGTTCCGTGGGGTCCAGGAACATAACTGCCCCTACTGACAGTGAGTTCATCACCGGCGTATCCCTCGTGGCTTGCAGTCTGTACCTCATTGGACAGGACATCGCTAGTTCTGCAGGATGGTGCCTAGCTGCGCCGGAGGGTTTGAATAGGGCTAGCTTGGGTTATGGTACCATTAAGGATTTTGACAGATCCCGTCAGTCGACCTGATCATATCATAGCATTTAACCATCACAAGATAATTACACAAGGGCCATAGTCAATATCATGAGACAAGAGCATCTAGCTAGAATAATAGATGATCTCGTCACAGACTACCCATCGACCTAACCGAACCAGCTCCACCCAACCCACGAACCGATCCCTCCAACCTATCATAACCCCCCCCGGACGCCCGTGGAGAAAAGCCACTCGTACTGACTGGACCGTAATGTCCGAGATCAACGCCGTTTTTAACCTGTGCGGGGATGGATCGGCGGGGTTAGGTTCTGGTTGAGGATGAGGATGAGGATGTGGTTGTTAGTACCGAGTATTTATAATTCCTTTCTTGCCGGACTCGCCCCCGTCGTTCGTATACTGTATACTCTGTAGCGTGTATACATACAACATGCGTCTGTCTCTCGCCCTCCCGGCTCTGGCCCTCCCCCTGGCGACGTCTCTTAATATCGTCTCTTCCAATGACGATGGCTGGGCTGTATCCAATATTCGTGCGCTGCACGACGCGTTGACGGAGGCAGGGCACAAGGTGGTTCTGTCTGCGCCGGCTGAGAATCAGAGCGGAACTGGTATATCTCCCTCTCCTTCCCTGCATATCTCTCTCATTCCCCTGCAACCATGAAGAAGATATACTAATAGATAAAAAAAAGGCTCCCTAGATATCCCCCCCAAAGACCGCTCCAAACCCTGCCAATTCAACAGCTGTCCCGCCAATGGCCCCCCAACAGGGCACGACCCAGCCAACCCGCTCCTCAACTACGTCAACTCCTACCCCGTAACCTCCATGAAGCACGGTCTTCAGACCCTCGCGCCTCAATTCTTCGGCGAAGAAGGCACAGACCTCGCCGTCGCAGGGCCCAACGTAGGCTCCAACCTCGGCCTAGCAGTCTTCATCAGCGGGACCGTCGGGGCGGCGTCCTACGCCGTGAAAGAAGCGCACATCCCCGCCATCGCCTTCTCCGGCAAGACGGGCGATCCGACGGCGTGGAATGATACCCGTCCGGCCTACAGCGACGTGTACGCTAAGCTGGCGAGTAAGGTTACTACCGCTGTAGTGGGCGCCGGCAAGCCGTATTTGCCGGAGGGAGCGTTCCTGAATGTCAATTTCCCGGCGGTGGGCGAGGACGGGAGCTGTGGGAAGGTGGAGGATGTGACGTTTGTGTTGTCGAGGATTCTGGGCACGGCGGGAGAGGATGTTGAGACTTGTGGGAAGACGCGGCTGCCGACGGAGGGGTCGGTCATCCGGACGGAGGGATGCTACGGCAGCGTGTCCGTTGGCATGGCGGAGAATAAATTGGATGCGAATGCGACGGTGCAGGGGGTTGTGCTGGGGAGGTTGCAGGGGTTGTTGGAGTGTTTGCCTTGATATATAGTACTTGGATGCTGCGTGTCGTATGTCGTATATAGGGGTCCAGGGGATATCATAGTTAGTTTACGGAAACATTATTATCTTAATTGTTCAGCAGTAATTCAAAAACTATTGTTAACTATACCAAATATACAGCAATTATACATACCAAGGAGTCTAGGCCTACTATTCCAGGTACTATTCAACCAACGTCCTATCACCATCTGCTACAGCCGAGGATACGACGATCACCCCCACCCACGGCTCAACCCGCCATATAAAGAAACCGCTGCCCCAGCCTACCTGTCTCTCCTCTTATTAACTATCACTCAATTATTACACTACAACACCACTACATACACAATGATGATAATCCCCCTTCTAGCAGCCCTGGGCCTCGCCCACGCCGCCAGCATCGACCACGACAAAGTGCGCCCTCTCCCGCAAACCATCCCCGAGGGCGCCCAAGGCGAGCTCTACCTAGCGTATCAGCCGCGATTGAACGTCGTCAATGGCTGCGTGCCGTATCCTGCCGTCGACGCGGAGGGGAACACAGGGTTTGTCTCCCTCCTCCTATCTTTCCTCTAGTATACTATACCGTAATAAAATATATACTGAAAAAACCAACAGAGCAGGCCTAAAACCCACGGGCCCCACAAACTCAAGCTGCACCACCAGCGAAGGCCAAATCTACGTGCGCGCGCGCACCGACGCCGACAGCACCCGCACAGCCCTCATGTACTCATGGTACTTCCCCAAAGACGCAGCGTCCCCGGGCTCCGGCCACCGACACGACTGGGAAGGCACAATCGTGTGGGTGAGCTCGCCGACCTCCACATCGCCAGAGAACATCGAGGCAGTTTGCCCCTCCGCGCACGGCGAGTGGAACTGCGCGACGAAGGATGAGTTCTCGCTGGACGGGACGAACCCGCTGATTGAGTATCTGAGCCGTTGGCCGCTGAATCATCAGATGGATCTTACGGAGGAGGTGGGCGTGTTGCAGCCGTTGGTGGCGTGGGAGAGTCTGGAGGAGGGGGTGTTGAAGCCGTTGGCGGAGACGGATTTTGGGAGTGCGCATTTGCCGCTGAGGGATGGGAATTTTGCGGAGGATTTGGATTCGGCGATTTATTAGTTTGGGCTTATCTTTTTGTTTGTGTATGTGATATATTTGTATATATTGTCGCGATGTAAGAAGTTATAGAGTTACTCACGGAGCGCAAGAGTCTTGCAATCGATGTCTTTTGTAGCGGACTGCATTCACTTCCATATTGTATAGAGGATTTGTATCTATCATGTGTACATCAGTTGGTGTATAACTGATGCGACTGAACTACCTGATATAGACGCTAAGAAGAACAACGTACACCAGTAAGGCACTGCCATTGTCGAAAGTATCTTAAAACAAAACCTTCCTCGCCGCACCAATCCCCCGTAAATCCCATCGCTGAGGCGCCGTCCTCTCCATCCACTCCGACCAATCCCCCTTAAACGCGGGCCTCATTATCTGCGCATACTCCCAGTAGTCAGGGTACCAGCCCGCCCACTCCCAGTCCAACAGCCCAGTAACGCGGTTCTCTTCATCCACCATCACATTGCGAGGCGCAATATCGGCATGCGTGAAGACGGAGTGCTCAGACCGGGGTAGCATCCGGGGTAGCTGGTTCTTGTAACGAAGCCCTCCAAAGTGCAGGTACCGCTCATAGATGCGGGTGCGCACGTTGGTGTCGCTGAGGAGCGGGCGGGGAGGTTGCTAAAGGTCTTCGAGCATGGGATCGCATGAGGGAGAGCCGTCTGCGAGACATTGGTAGAGTTCGCTGAACTTTTGTGGATGGGCGATGGTGCGGAATTTGGCGACTAGATCCCATAGCTGGTAACAGATGGACTCTTTAGCGTCGTCGTCGAGCGTGTCCCATTCATCTGTCATGGGTATCCCGGGGGCAATGGTCATCCCGATGAGACCGTCTGGGGGGTTGGAGTCGCGTATATCGCATTGTTGTGGATCGGCGATCTCATTGACACGATGGAAGCTTGCGAAGAGCACTTCTGGACCAGGGACGTCGGTATTGTTGAAGACGAGTCGCATTGCTTCTGCTTCTGTGGGGAGCACGCCGGATCCTTCTTTTGTCACCCAGGCGATGTCCAATTGCAGGAGTAGTCTGCCCATCTGTTTGGATAGGACTTTGATGACCTCTTGACTCGGTGGGAGGGAGAGTGGATCTGTTGTTGACTGGCATGGGATTATGGTTGTGCCATCCCTGATGTAGTGTTGTCCCGCGTGGAGATTCTGTATGGTATATGGGAGGGGTGATGGTTCATCCATTTGATGACTGTTGTTTCTGGAGAGTGTCATTCATTGGCTTTATGTCACTAACAATATAAAGTTCAAGTTGGTGTATTCTGAAGTGAATGAAGTGGTCAGGCAGCTGCCACGGGAAGTGTGACTCTTTGTCTCATGCAGTCATTCCCGCATCATCACACAACCTAGAAACCTACATCTCAACCTCCCAACAACAATTCCCAACTAACACATCTCATTTCAACTCAACATCCTCCTCCTTAGACCATCATGGTTAACTACCCACCCTCAGAAACCCCAATAACAACCATCGGCCTACGCGAGATCTGCCACTTCAACGGCCACACCTTCAAACGGCTCCGAGGGACTCAACAATGGACAGAGACAACCACCAGCCATCCCTCTCCAAGCAATAACCCTCCAACCACACAGTCTCCACCGCTATACCTCTCTCTAGTCCAGCACGCCCAAGACGATGACGAACCCCTCCACTGGTCACTCTTCATAGCTTACGAAAACCAACCCGGCCACGAATACCAAGTCACCGGCGATGCAGAGCACATGACATACCAGCCGTCAAAAACCCACACCGACGTAGTCAACTCAGACTGGTTTCTGACCTTATACAATCTGGCCATCATCACAGAGGAGCAGAGTGAGGCTGTCAAGCAGGTCGCCGAGAGCGAGCAGCCTCCCTGGGCAAATAATCGGCGGGAGGTCACGGAGAATTGTCAGGGGTGGACGGTGCGAGTCATTGCCAGACTGGTGGATATTGGCATCGTGCCAATCGAGAAACTTGAGATGGCCAAGTCTATGGTCGAGCCTGTTTGAGCGAAGAAAGGGGGGGGAAGTTCATCATTATTACGCAGCAAAATTGTATTCGGGGCTTGGAGATTGTTCATTATGTTATTTGATGTATCTCAAAGCTATGGCTTATCTAGGTACGATGATTACCCGCCAGCGCTGTCAATTTATCTGCAGGCAATCAATAGCAAACATCAGGCAATATATTGCAAAACTTTTACACTAGGAAGGAATCAGGTTCAAAATGGTAGCGTCCAAGTTATGTCCGTAATTTTCATGCCTGGTCTGCCGCATTCGACGCCGGACAGTACCCCATGCCTGGCATCTATAAACATCCGGTTGATACCTCTCTCAATACCATCCTCCAATATGGATCGGTGCGGTCGAGACTTCTTGTCTAGGTAAAACATGTGAAATGATGGCCGTATTCATCCATCCATATTGTCTATGGTATAGTTTCGTGTTTTGCCAGGAGACATCGCCGAGCCACTCCATTCGCATTCTCGTTCGACGGTGAAAAGCTGGCCGACGTGATTATATTCGACCGATGACCGTGAACTGACCGGTCATGAAATCGTGAGTCGACGAGTATGATGGCTGACCCCTGGCCGCGTATTTTCAGCGCAGCGTGACAGGGGCATGAATGTAGCAAATCTGGACGTCATGATCTCTTAGGGAAGCGAAATATGTTGGACTCTGACCACTGGTGACAATGTTATATACTCGAGCATGTTTCATGTCTCGTATATGGTCTGTACATCGCGACTTTGGCCAATGAAGCCTGCATGTCAGCATAACCCTTCAATTCAGTCATGGAAAAATAATACCCAGAACAATGACACAAGGGTGCCAAAGAATCGGCGAAAAGCCGAACGCTAAGGTTCACCGGCCGACTAGCACCCCGCGCATGATGCCCTGAAATTCCAGAACCGGGCGATCCCAACTTGAAGGCTCATGGGTGTATTCCTCGGTACCTTTCCCTCTTCCTCATACCGGCATAGAAAAAAGAGACTTGACTAGCAATCGTATGGTATCACAACAATCTCGTCTTCCAAGACATATGCCGGATCATCGAAGAGGTGGACGATATCTGGTCGCCCACACAAATGGAATATGGTGCGATCTGGGCCGACCATCTGTGCACGCATCCCTAGATCGTCGTTAGACTTCAAGAGCAGTTGTATTTTGCTAGAACCCCTTTCTCATGTAGGCTTAGTACTGTCGTGTGAGATCCCAGCCAGAATGTGTGTCATCCTCTACTGTTATGCAAGACGCACGACGGAGCGTTGCGAACTATACGCGCGCATAGATATGGATACATTTCATGTTGTTGTGAGTCGACAATAGCCAGTTGATATGCTATACGCTGCTTTACATTGTATGTCGGGTCTGTAATGTACCCATCGCTTTCGATAGCCCAACGCGCTGCCTGTGATTGCGTTAGTCTCGAAATGGGTCGGAAAATTTTTCTGATCTTACTTGCCTTCTTTGAGCATGTGTATGTCACAATGTACTCCTCCAATGACATTGAGTTCGTATATCCTTTTTGCTAGCTCACTCCCTAGCGGATAACAAGTGTCCTTGGGATGATGGTTTTTGGATGTGGTTGTAAACTCATTTATATATAGCACCGGCTGAATTTGTTTGGCCGCAGTGAATAAAAGACAACCATGAAGCATTTCAACAGAGATGAATGCACAGAATTTCGATAGCGAAGGGACAACCGGAGATGAAGTAGGAGCTGGGTGCAAGAGACAAGACGGACATGTATACGACAGGAAGACCTTCGTCTGAATCTCCGTCGTAGAATTGGTAAAGGGCAACCGGACCAGCATTTCGCATCTTGGGTAGGACTGGGGTCCCATTTACTGCATGGATTCAATGCCTCCCACTTAGTTCTTCAATTAATCATTCTGTATAATTCATTACCTGCTCATCTTCCCGGAATCGGCGTCACAGCCACTGCATCAGAATACCGAATCGTTAATATGGTCAGGTTTGATATCACTGATATCCGAGCGAAACCGCTGTTTTAGAGTAAGGGATAATTCGAGGATCCATCAGCTCCACCGATATTGCGGACCGAGAGTCTCATCGGTGTCGATTGGGTGCTCAATATGCATTGAGAGTAGGATGCCCACGCCTGGAGATTCTCTCTGCTCTGTGGCTTCGCTGGAAGGCCCATGGACTTATCAAGGGATTCTATAGGCCCAAGGATATTTATGAAGATGACGCACTTCGTGGGCTTTTGCCCAGGCCCATAATCTGCTAGCCACTTTACCGGATCATTGAACGGCTCTATGGTCGGGCTGGATATGGCTGATATCCCCATTAAATGTGTCGAGAGACATATGTCATTTAAGAAAGCAGATGATGTTGAGGGCAAGTCCTGGTATAAGTATGTTAAGGAGGTTGATAAGGCGACAAAGAGGAAGTTCCAACAGTGTTTGCGTCATTATTGTTTGGCATGATCACTGAATGAAAAGCTTCACTGCTTCATTCACAGTTATATCAGGGACATATGTAGCCTATCACCGACAGTCTTTGCTAATATCAGATGATGGACAATGAATGGGCAAAATCTCTCATTCTTTCTGGACTGTCTGTGAAGCCAGTCCTATTCTTTCAAGAAACTTCCCCCCTGCGCGAAAGGTACAAAACAGCAGGCAAAGACATTCATACAGTGTCAATCACAAGGCTAATCATCGGGCCAATGAAATATACCAGCCACACGGACCTTTGTTGCACTTTCAACATGTGGGCAACCTTTCTAGAATGACGACGCGGGATTCCACCAGTAAGCCCTAGAATACAGGCAATTAACCCTTTTGGGTTATGATCAGGCGTCCAACCTGTTTGTGCCCGATCGCCTGCAGACAGCTGAATAGCTCGAGATACTAACCGGTCGTTGGCAGCCTTGGGAAAAGAGATTCTGTTTGTCAGGCTCTATATCGACCAGTCCTCCTGCTCTATTGAAATGTAGCATTTAGGATAACGCTTTTATACGTGGCGTTGAGTGTTCTATAGTGATACCCAAGCAGCATACCGTCCACCACCACTCGTACATGACGAACGAGGGAAGTGGTCGCTTGACGATCGGTATCCAATAACAATCCTTGTATTTCAACACCCCTAACAATAGGACATGGCCGTCATTTGGGGGCCATCGGGGTAGCATTGGCACCAGGCTGGCTCTTGTCGAAGGCTATTCTGCCAGCCCACCGACCCATGGCGCACTAACTTAACCCATTCAAGAGATGATCTCCTACCTATGCACTTGGTCTGCGCGATTTTCTTGGCTGCATAACCCTCATTGGTTGTCATGTCTGGGCGCCAAGTCGCTGAGAACAGGACCGTGGGTGAGGATCCGACCCCAGGATAGCTTCTCTGCAGAGGACATCAATCCTTCACCTTGCGGAGAAGAGGGTCCGGGGCGGGAAGGAATGCTCTTTCTCGCCTGCCCAAACGACGCCATGATCAAAAGCGGGTGGAAGGACGCCTTTCAGTCGAAGAACAGCCTCTATAAGCCTTAAACAAGATCGACATCAGACCAGACACTGCTAGACCGGGATGCCGCGCTTGGCGTGCATGTAGCCTTGCCCGATCTGACATCAACGGCGCTGATTCCTGGCCGCTCATGCGGTCTTTTCTCAGCCGGCTAAGTCCGCCATCTGGTGTTTGTATGGACCCCAATGCTCTTGGCCGGGGAAATGGGGTCTTTTCAGTGGAGATGGCTGAGAATTTGCCTCTGCGGAGTTCCAGTCAACCCCATGGGGAGAGGGGAGAGGGTAGGAGCTGTCAGACCGTCTGGGGTCTCCTGGTGGACGTTAAATGCATGACCCCCCTCCGCTGTGGATTATTCGTTCCCCTCAAGACCCAGCACTTGGTCTCCCTGCGTCCTCTTATTTGTCTATCACGCTGTGTGCTAGCAATCCCCGACGATTTGACCTACCTCATCCCCACCCCACCTACACTAACAGACTGGGCTGCAGATCAACCCATCCGGGGATCTGATCAGGTTCACCAAAATGGGCGAGAAACCGACCGATCCCGAGGCGCCTGTCCTGGCACAACAGGACGCCCACTCAGCGGTATGGATAGAGAAGGAGATCGGAGCTGAAGTTGCGCGCGAGTGGTCTCGCGATCCAGCCAAGAGTGTCGCCGCGCAAACCAGGCCGAAGAATCCCCTGGCCGAGCTGACCCAGGAGGAACTGTTCCGCGATGTCGAGCAGTTCGCGCACGAAAAAGAGCTTACCGATATCCTCGACTTGCTGAAGAAGGGTTCCTTAATTGCGCAGGATCCCAAGCGTTTTGAGGAGCTGCCCGAGCTGTCGGAGGAGGAGAAAGATGTGCTGCGCCGCGAGAAGACGCACCGGTGGAGTCAGCCGTTTATGATGTACTTTATGACCAGTATGTGCTCTCTACAGCTCCCATCGCTATGGAAATTGCCCCACTAACTGGTCACCAAGTTCTCTGCGCCGGATCGGTTCGTTCCAATTGATTTAGTAGCGCGGTGAACGTATTACTGACGGTTGTAGGCTATCGTGCAAGGCATGGATCAAACAGCCGTGAACGGTGCCCAAGAGTGAGGATTCTGCGCTAGATGAATGCATCCCATGCTAATCAATCGACCAGGTACTACTTTGAAGAGTTTAACCTGAAAGACCCCTGGCTCCAGGGTCTGGTGAACGGGGCGCCCTACCTATGCTCCTGTCTCATCGGGTGCTGGACGACCGCCCCGCTTAACCGCTGGTTCGGTCGTCGCGGGTGTATCTTCATCTCGTGTTTTGTCTCGTTCGCCTCTTCGTTCTGGATGGCGTGTGCGCACACCTGGTGGAATCTAATGCTCGGTCGCTTTCTGCTTGGGTTCGCCGTCGGTGCCAAATCCACGACTACCCCGGTGTACGGTGCCGAGTGCGCGCCTGCCAACATCCGAGGTATATCTCACTTGATATAGGGTGTCCGCTCGACAGCATACTAATTTCATTAGGTGCTCTCGTCATGATGTGGCAGATGTGGACAGCTTTCGGCATCATGCTGGGGTTTATCGCCAGTGTCGTCTTCATGGACGTTACGAACACTAACATCCCGGGTTTGAACTGGCGTCTTATGCTGGGGTCTACCGCCATTCCGTGAGTCCAACGCTCACCACGCAGTCTATTTTCTCGCTGATCAAGATAGGCCGATGTTTGTCTGTGCCCAGGTGTACTTCTGTCCCGAGTCTCCCAGATGGTACATGATCCGTGACCGCTATCGCGAAGCCTACCAGGCGCTTTGCAGTCTGCGTCCAACCGCGCTCCAGGCTGCCCGCGACCTCTACTATATCCACGTTGCACTGAAGCATGAGGAGAAGATGCGCGAAGGCAAGCAGCTCTGGCTGGAGATGTTTACGGTGCCGCGCAATCGGCGGGCAGCACAGTCGTCTTTCTTCGTCATGTTCATGCAGCAAGTACGTCGACCCCTTCCCCTCCAACCAGTTGCTTTGGAAATGTATACTGACATAGTCTCTAGTTCTGCGGTGTCAATGTAGTTCTTCCCCTGCTATAGAAAATGCGCCAAAGCTAACGATCCCAGGCTATCATGTACTACTCGTCGTCCATGTTCATCGGTGCAGGCTTCGATCTTCGCATGGCCCTCATCACATCGCTCGGCTGCGGCATCACCAACTGGCTGTTCGCCCTCCCAGCCGTCTACACGATCGACACCTTCGGACGACGCAACCTCCTCCTCACGACCTTCCCGCTGATGAGTCTCTGCCTGCTCTTCACGGGATTCTCCTTCTGGATCCCCGAAGGCAGCGAGGCCCGTCTCGCCTGTGTCGCCACCGGAATCTACCTCTTCATGATCGTCTACTCCCCAGGAGAAGGTCCCGTTCCATTTACATACTCAGCTGAAGCCTTCGTACATCTCCCCCCTAACCCAAACCATATACACATCGCTAATGCAAAGTTCATAGCCCCTCTACATCCGTGACATAGGCATGTCCTTCGCGACCGCCACCACCTGGGGTTTCAACTTCATCATCTCCCTGACATGGCCGGCGCTCGTCAAGGCCTTCACCCCGCAGGGTGCGTTCGGCTGGTACGCGGCGTGGAACTTCGCCGGCTGGATCTTTGCCTATTTCTGTCTGCCGGAGACGAAGGCGTTGTCCCTGGAAGAGCTGGATCAGGTCTTTTCTGTGCCGACCCGGAAGCATATGAACCATTATGCGGGGATGCTTCCGTGGTATTTCAAGAAGTATATTCTGCGCGGCGATGTGCCGCCCCAGAAGCAGTTGTATGATTATGAGTAGTCGGGTGTTGCTCGGAGCAAGGTACAGATGGAGCTGTGGAATTTCGGGCTGTAGGTGGATGATATGTTAATGTAGGGTGATGTATACTCGCTCATTATGTGATATGGATGATGCTGGTTGTTGACTAGCAATGGATGGTTGGTACTCTAGGATATCCGAAGTTAGGGCTTCTACTCTTCTATCCTAGCATCTCGGACTTATATATCTTGCATCACGAGAATCTGCACATCGTAATTTTGCAACAGAGCTCCTTTTGTTGACTCGCTTGAGATTGAACACAATGTATGAGGGATACCAATGACGATTGACATACTATGGATTAGATCCAACCCAAACTATATATTTTCCCCGCGGTGACGATTTTCCGACTCCACCTCATCACAACAAGTCTAAGCCCTATCTCTTGCCTATCAAGTCTAACAAATATGTAATGAATTTCCATATATCAAACCACCTTAATACAGGACAACAAGCTGCCAAACTCTCCCATGGGGGTCGGCACGCAGACCCTGCACAGGTGGGTCCAACCCTCTAGCGACCCATACATTATTGGAAGCCACAACCGGGTCGGATCCATCGCAGCGACTCTCATTCGCCCAGAAGGCACGATACTTCCATTTACATTATCAGACAGGACCCTCTTTACCCTCTTTTCTTCCCATTCCAGTTTCTGGGGTTCTCGTTGCCATTAGGTAACAAGTGGGCCACCGCCAGCTGGGAGCTCGAACTGAGATTTCTCTCCCGCGTCGATATAATGCTTCCAGATGACTCACTCACTCACAGCCTGAGGTTGGTTGGAATGGATCGAAGTTTCTGACGTTGCTTGCGCCTATTGTTGGATATTTGTAGATTTGCCTAGTACCACTACTAGTGAACTGATCTACCAACCATGGCTGATGCAGCCGCCCCCGACCCCTATAAGCACACCTCCGACGGAGATGCCGAGAAGCACGAAGAGGCTCTCCCCGCGTTTCTGGATGCGTTTGGAGACGAGGAGGATGCAGAGGTGAAGTACAAGGTGCTGAGTTGGTGGTATGTACCCACCCCTTCCCTCCCTCTTGCGAGAATCATGCTAAACAACACGACGACAGGCAATGCGGCTTCCGTGAGATTCTACCAAACATCTAACCCGCGATGATCTAACCATTGTAGTCATGGTCGCCGAAACCGTCTCCCTGGGGATTCTGTCGCTCCCTGCCGTTGTTGCCCAGCTCGGCCTCGCGCCGTATGATTGCCATGCCCCTGCCATTAAGATGCGCGTAGATAATGCAGGCTAACTAATCTCAGATCAATCGTGCTAATGCTCGTCATCGGTCTAATCGCCACTTACACCGGCTACGTGATCGGCCAGTTCCGCTGGGCCTACCCGCATGTCCAGAACATGGCTGACGCCGGCGAGGTCATCTTCGGGAGCATCGGACGCGAGGTCTTCGGCATGGGCCAGCTGCTGCTGATCATCTTTATCATGGCGAGCCATCTGTTGACCTTTTCCGTTGCTATGAACTCTATCACGGACCATGGGACATGCACGATCGTGTTCGGGGTGGTCGGCTTGCTGATTTCGTATATCCTGTCGCTGCCGCGTACGTCGACGAATGTCTCGTACTTGTCTGTTGCTTGTGAGTTTATCTTAACCTCTTATACTCCCTACCGTGGGGGTTAGTAGCTAATGGGATGGGCAAATGCAGCATTCCTGAGTATCTTCACCGCTGTCTTGATCGCCATGATTGCCGTCGGCATCGACAAGCCTTGGACCGGGCCGCTGAACGCTACTGTCGAAACGAGTCTGTATAAGGCATTCTTGGCCGTGTGCAACATTGTCTTTTCTTTCTGTATGTCTCAAGAACGACCTTCCTTTACAAAAGAGGAAAGAAGACAGTCATGGGTTACCACTAATCAACCGATAGGTGGACACGTCGCATTCTTCGGATTCATGTCCGAACTCAAAGACCCCAGAGAGTATCCCAAGGCCCTCTTTCTGCTACAGGGCACCGACATCTGTCTGTACATCGTTACGGCCGTCGTTATCTACTGCTATGCGGGTGACAACGTCGCATCGCCCGCGCTGGGGTCTGCTACCCCTATTGTGCGCAAGGTTGCGTATGGTATTGCTTTGCCAACTGTGTGTTTCTCCCTCGCTCCCTCTATTTCTTGTTATATCGTTCTTGAACTACTAGAACTGAACTAATGAACGAGTAGATCATCATCGGCGGAGTCGTCAACGGCCACGTCGCCGCCAAATACGTCTACGTCCGACTCTTCCGTAACAGCGACCGCATGCACAAGACGGATCTCTTTGCCATGGGGTCGTGGGTGGGTATCGCGTTCGTGCTGTGGGTTGTGGCGTGGGTTGTGGCCATGGCAATTCCTGTGTTCAATGAGTTGCTCAGTTTGATTGTATTCATTCCTTCCTCCCTTCTTCCCAGAACACCAATGACAATAGACAATGCTAACTGGACCAAAGGCCTCCCTCTTCGCAAGCTGGTTTACCTGTATGTCTCTATCTTCCCCCCTCTTACTTCTCTCCCCAGAGCAATAACTAACCAACGAACCAAGTCGGCTTCACCGGCCTCTTCTGGCTATACATCAACAGGGATCAGCTATTCGCGACCCCCGCCAAGATCGCCATGACTGTGATCAACACCATCATTATCGGAATCGGGCTCTGCGTGGTACGTTCGCATCTACATGGAAGAGTAAATCGTCTACTGACACCAGAATCTAAAATAGTGCGGTCTGGGGTTGTATGTCTCTGGTCGAGCATTGCATGAAAATCCTAGCAGTGCGGCGTTTAGCTGTGCGAATAACGCGTGATGGGGAGTATATTTTTGTGGGACTGCTTTTGGGACAATGTTCTCTACTGGGTCATGCTGTAGGTTTAGTAGGGGTTGTATATTGATGCTGATGACCTCACCGTGCTGGATAATGTGTGGGTCATGGAGTGGCTATAGATCGAGATATTTATATTTGTATGCTTTATTTGATTCTTACTTCAGTTTTGTACAATTGTCGTATATTATGTGACCGTATATAGATTTTGGATCATGTGAAGGATGTTGATATGCCCATGTGATCAACTCTAGCCCTAACAATATAGAGCATGCAACACTCCTTATCCAACCAAAAAGCTCCTCATCAAACCCGTCAGCTTCAGACTCTCACCGCTGTATATCAAGTATGGTATTTCCCCGGAAATAACAATCTGCAATACAATCGCCAGCTGGACTCTCCAGGCCTGCCAAGCATGCCCAGTATGCCCAGTATGCCCAGGACTTGGCAGCATGTCGGGCGATAGCAACGGGGGCACTCTGTAATAGCCAGAAATGTCAAGACCGGTAAAGCAATGTGGTAGGCACTGGAAATACTAGTGGTTCAAAGAATATCTACTTGATCTGCCAGCTTATGTTCACTGGAGTACTTGTGCACAAGGAGGTATACTTTCAGTCCGGGAAGGGTTGGCTAAAGGGCAACCTCGTAAATCCAAAATTCATAGACTTGTTGATGACAAGCCGTATGAGGGACTATCAAATAGTCTCTTATGGATGATTTCAGAGTTGTTATTGTCGTTGTTGTTGTTGTTGTTGAATGGTGAGACATGCAATCGGGCAGCATGTCACCTGACTCGCACAGCTTTCTCACGAAGACTATTAGATTGACCCTTCATTTTTTGCAAATATTCTATAACCTTTTCACAGTATCGATCATCATCAAATCCATCAATATTTATCAATATTTAGACCATTTCCATAGATCCTTCCTCAGCAGCGAATAGCAAGAGCACGTCACCCCACGTGCAATCATCCTAGCAAGCGCATCTACAATAGGGAAGCTAGACGATGATCATCGTCGAGACGCCCGCTATATGCCTCACCCAGTACAAGTAGTGTCAATCTCAGACATATCTACTGCCCAGCGACCTCCTTCTACGCGATGTCCGGCAGGTTTTGCGACGCAATGAGGCAGGAGTCTTGGGAATCAATCAGCCCCGTGGGGTTACTGATAAGAGCAGACCTGGAGCAGCTTGGCGATGCGTGTTTTTTACGGCAAGTATGGCGCAAACAGGGCAAACCCTGGTTTTAGCCTCATGGTCAACATTGAAAACAATGTTGGATGTGTGGGCTGTCAAGATAATTCCGTTACTCGGACTGGACTGGCTTGGCGCAATCGTGGCGATGCAGCTTGGGGCTCCATATTTTTCCCGCTGCCAAGTTGTACCAGGCACGCGGAGGTCCCAGGATAGCTCTAAATGGAACAACCATGGGCGTCTCATTCGCTGCATTTATGCCGCAGGCCAAGTCAATTCGCGGTCTTGTCCTCCGCTCGGCGGCGAGCGGGGTTTTTGCTCACGGGCTCGTCCACTCCTGCCAAGCACGGCGGACCTTCTTCTTTTTTTTTTCTCTCGAAACCTTTGGGGATAATCGAATAACGCAAGTAGTATGTGTCTCAGTACGTTGTGCACGAGGCTATTCCGTGAAAGAATGGAGTCGGACAAAACACATGGTAGAATGTCCGTCTGCAGCTGAGGAGAAGCCGCATGCTCTATATACAATGGCCACCCGTCACCCCCAGACCTTCTCCCCTCCCACAAGAGCTAAGTATTGGAGGATAGATGGAGCTCTATCTAAAGCATCGAAGAGTCTTCCCATTAAGAAATTTTCTATTTTGTTGCAGCGTACCTCTCACCCCCCCGGCTACTAACCAATGGTGTCCAACATAAGAACGAGTTGACAGAAGAGGAAGGCTGAGAAAGCCATCCCTCGCTTCTCTTTCTCCTTTTTCAATCGCCTGTCTCTGCTACATCGAGAATGCACCAAATCTCTGGGCACATATATGCCGAGAGCTTGGCCCCGGATTCATGGAGCCACTTCGATAGGACGTCCCTTCAATCAGATCGTAGGATCCAGCCTGCACTGCCTGGTTCTGTGAGTGTCATCCATCAGTTTACTGGTTCCCAGACTGGTAATCTCGCTTCAGACCCGTCTGCATAGACTCCGTGCGCC